GAGGTAATTATATTCATCTTATAAGGCTAGGTCTTCGACAAAAAAATATATGAAAAAAAATCGGAGCAAGTGGAGTACCACTCTATGATATTGTTATTGCACATGTTGAATAGTATTAAACATTATATTTACAATTAGTATTATGGTAGGTTAAATTTATTTTTGCTGAAAACATTTTACTTATTATATTATTAAAATTTAATTATTCAATTATTAAAGTCCTTATGAATATTTTTTTTAATTATCACTAAATTATAAACATTGTTATTCTTTATTAGTTAAGTATAAAAATAATCTTAATTTTTTTTTTTTTTACTTATAATTTAGAACAATACTGGAATTTTTACTTTTTAATTCTTACAAAATCAACTAAGTACAATTTTCTATCAGAAACCACCATTTTAAATTGAATATCTTAGCATTTTTACTCTTTAAATGTTTTATATAGACAAAAAAAAATATCTTGTATTGCCAATTCATTCATCACTCTGTTCAAGTTCTACAACAGTATTGTTGGGTATTATTCTATTTATAAACGTTTGTATCATTTTATAGCCATCTGATGTAGAATCATTTGAAGAGTCAGATGATGATGGATCTGAGTATTCAGAAGCTTCAGAGGATTCAGATAGTGATGGTATTATATTTTATAAATGTATTAATTATTATTATGTATGATCTAATTGATTTGAGAAAAAAATAATTTTAACTTGCAGAAGAAGAATTGGGTTCTTCTGATGAATCTGGAAAGGATTGGTCAGATTTAGAAAGAGAAGCGGCTGAGGAAGATCGTGATAGAAATGATTTTCAAGATGAATATTCGAAAAAGAAAATGGGCAGTAGTGGTGGAAGTCGTTATAACAGTTCCTCTTCACATAAAAAATCAAGCAGTGATAAGCACAGGTACAGATCATAATTAATATTAATTTCTTTTAAATATTTATTTTATATGGAAAATAAATGTCAATATAGTTAATTGCCTACCCTGACAACTAACACATACGCTTATACAAATAATCTAATTTATTGTTTCTTAATACTGTTGATTTTGACTATTAGTGCATAAATTATCCCTGATATACTGTGATAAATGATTGTTTTAACATTTTAAACTTAATATGATTTTTTGGTTTGATTTAGGTATTTCTTTTTTAATTCTAATAATTTGTTGTTTTTTTTAAATATTCTATAAATAAGTTAGTTTACTAAGGAGAACATAATGCCTTAATTAAAAAGCGAAATTTATGTATTAAAAGGTAGTATAGAAACATTTTTATTAGGGAGAAATTCATATTATACCTTTTTTTTTTAGTGTATATCTAATACCATTGCAATTATTATACCTTTATTTTTTAAATTTACCGATTAATACATGTGAGGACAATTATTGCTGTAGCAATATAGTATAAGTCATAAAAAACACAATATTGTTTTAACAGTATTATTTCAATGGTTTTGTGTGAAAAAATATAATTTATTGTCCTACTGCAACACTTGTTAATATTGGTACTGTATTATTTATAGTAATTTTCAAGTTAATCTTTGAGAGTATATTATAATTATTCTAACAAAATATTTTCCATCTGCAAATGTGTTTAGTAATAAGTGAAATAAATTTGGATAATTTTATTATTTAGAATTAAGTTTAATGAATTTATATAGAAACATTAAAAAGATAATAGTCATCAAATGATTTAAGTGTTTGTATAAACTTTAGTACATAAATACATATTTATGGTTCAATTTTCAATACAAATATAAAGTAAACTAAAAATATTGTTCATAAATTAACCAAAATAATGATTAGATATATTTTATTATTATAACAGTTTTTAAACTTAAACTTTAGGTCATAATTGTGGTTAGAATATTAAAAAACCAATATTTTAGCAATTGATCATAAACCAATTTTATTTTCAACTGTTAGTTTTAAGATCTGATTAAAATGTTTATTTCAATAGAATTTCTTATCCATTCTCTAAATTAGACAGCTCTAACAGCATTGTAAAGCTCTGTGATCATTTTCTTCACTAGAGAATTATGTGAGAATAGTAATTTATTGATACAGTTATTAAACAATAGCCATGTTTTATTAAAAATATTAAAAGCTATCAATTTATTTTTTTTTTGAATAAATTTTAAAAACTATCGCACATTAGTAATAATTATTTTTTACTTTCTAAATTCAATTGGGAATTCCTTTAAAGTATGTTTTTTGGATTTTTATAAATTTTAACTGCCAGTTTATATGTAATCATAAAATAATGAAATGTTTTGAAATTTATGAGATCTACGTAAATTTGTCTTTGTAATAAAGCTTGTAAAGATAAAATCTATAGAATACTAAATGATATAATTAGAGCATGGATTTTTATGCACTAAAAAATATCGAAATATGCGATATAATATGCAGTAAAAATCATAAAAATATGTAATAATTTTTTTTTTTTTTTTTTTCATATAAAATTTACAAATTAAATTAAACAACTTACAATAATTAATTACTTAAATAAACGAAGTATGTAAAAAAATTTTGTTTTAACATGCAATATATTTTGAATTTTGTAAAAATATACAGATATATACAAATAAATTTCACTATTAGATTCAAATTATTATGATTTGTGAAGATAACTGACAAAAATCCAAAAAAGGAAAAGGGAAAAAAATATGCAATTGCATAGAAATCCGTGCTCTAGATATTTTAAACAATGTATGGTTGTAAAAAGTGGATAATAAAATTATTAGGTATTTATAATAATAAACACTCACTGGTTACATTATTCTTTTCTTTAAATATAGAGGTATTTTAATAAAGCAAAATGTTTTCAAATACAAAATTGTTTCTAAGATATTTCATAATAATGTGATAGCATTATTTCTACATTTTAGTAATTCTTCTTTATCAAATTCAAAATCAAATAATCGTCCCGAGAATTTATTCCAAAAAAGCAAATCTTATTCTAGCAGTTATTCAAGGTATAATATTATTTAGATTAGTTAAGTAATGTTTTATATTATATTGACTGCTTTTAAATAATATAAATATTTAAGTATTTTTAATCAGATATAGTATATTAGTAGTTTCTTAATGTGTGAATAAATTATTTTAAAATTTAATACTTTTGATGTAGAAATATTTTTAATTACAAACTTTTTTATACCATAGTAAAATTTAATTTTTCTTTTAAAATGTTTACATATCTACAAATAAAAATTCTACTACTATAAAATAAACATAAATATGTATATGTGTGTGTTAATTAAATTTATTGTATAAGTAAAATAACTGATTAATTATCTATAATGTTACCATATTTTAATAATAATATATTAACTATGGTTCATTATTTATAGATTAATTCCATATCTAAACATTTTTTAAATAAAATAAAATTAATTAAAAATTATAAATAATGACATTAAGTTATTATTTAGTTATATATATATATATATATATTTTTTTAATTATCTAGTTTAAGCAATTTTATATTACATGTAGGATAGATGATTGTTTAATAGAAATAAAATATTGTAGGTACTAATTTATTATAAAAGTAGCATTTTTTATTAAATTGTTCTTATTAGTTAAAAAAAAAAAATATAATATTCTATGCTTTTATATTTATTTGTGATGATGGCAATTATTAATAGATTGTTAATATTAATTTTAGTTGTTTAAATTAAAAAAGATTTTTATCCTGTGTATGCTGATTTAACTGGGACCTCTAATCTAACAATACTTATACTATATATACTCTTGATACTATATTTTGTAGTTTTTATTTGCTGTGGATAATTTGTGATTAAATTTCAAATTTAATATGTCTTGTAGTTTTCATGGGTGTTTTGTATTTTAGTTTTCTAATAAGCCAATAAGTATTTTTAGTTTTTTTTTTTTTTTAATTACCCTTTCAAGCATCATTAAATTGGTGATTTGTTTTCATTTTTATAATTTTATTCTTTCTTGGTTAATTATTGATTTCTTTTGAGATTCTTTGCAAAGTTAACATATAATCAATTTTCTAATGTCATTTTTTTCCTCATTTATAGACGAATTATGAATATTAATTTTGTATTTACAGTGCAAAACAAACTATTTAATAATTGTTATTCCACACATTAAGGTATAATACATTAAAACTTGTAAATATATTTGTTGAAATTCAACAGTAAATATTAAATATATGTAAATAAATGTTTCACTTAGTCAATGTTGGATAATTTGCTATATAATAATTTCTACAGTTGAATTAACAAATAAAGTTTAAATTGCCCCAATTATTGTCATGAATTTAATCATTGCAGTAGTTTATTTTAGTTACTTATAACTTATAAAATTTCTTGATGATGTTAGTAACTAGAAATCTAATTTAAATTATAAAATTGAAACTTAAATGGTAGGTTAGATAAAGATAATAATTAATATTAGGGATCATTTTATTATATTGTTTGTTTCTTTTTTAATTATTTTAGTCCATCTAAAAGTAAATCATCATCTCATCATAAATCAAATAGCAGCAGTCATCATCATAGCAGTAGTAATCGTCACAGTAGTAGCAGTGGAAGTCATGGAAAACGTTCTTCAGGAGGTGAAAAACGTCGCCATGACGATAGTAGTGATCGTCATTCTTCTAAAAAACACAGGTAAGTCATTTCTTATTTTAAATTCTTTTAAACATCAACTATATAATATTTTTTTTACAGAAAATAATTGTAAAATTTGACATGGGACACACAAATTAATAAAGCTTATCAAGATAACTTAATTTAGCATTATCAATTTATAATTGTTTTCTTATATATTTTTTATACAATATTTCTTAGATTTAAGAACATTTTTATTTTCAGCATTTTCAAAAATACATTTAAAAACTCAAAATTTGTGTAATTTTTATTTTAATATCCTTATATAACTATACATAAATAAAAATTTAAATAATTTTTTTATATTAAAATTTGTGGTTTAATTTGAATAATTAAGATTAAAATATAATATTTAATTTTAATTAAACAAGTAGAAATGACCTAAATAAAAACTATTTAACTATTACTATTTGAAATATTTTTCTTCTGATCAATTTGTAAGCTCTCTATAGCTGAATAAGGTAAAGTTGCACTAACAGTTATTGGTGGCATACCAGGTAAAGATATTGGAGTTGTAAGTGGCATTCCTGAGTAAACATCTGTAACAAATGTAAATAGAAAATTATAACTTTAATACAATAAAATCATTAAGAAAAGATACTCATTTAATTTTAAAACGTTTTGAATGTCTAATTAAATATAAAAATCCTAGATATTATTGTTAAAAAATACTTTGTTGGTATTGTAATGGCTGCAAAGGTTGAAATTGATCCGAATAATTGATTCCTAAAAAATAAATTAACCATAGTTCAATAATTATTATTAGAAATATGTTAACACAAATAAGTATATTTTATTTTCACACTAATTTGTATTGTCATGTTTCAATAAATTTTAGAAGTTTAACAAGTAATGTTTTATACAAAAATAGTTTATTATTATGATTTATGGGTCATATTACTATGACATTAAAAAATAATTTTAAGTACACAACATAGTTTAGATCAATGAATTAAATGCTTATAGTTATAAATGATTTCTTTTTAAATTACTTTTTTAAAGTATTCATTTAAGCATAACATATACTGTACAGATAATAATAATTATTTTTAAATACCTGGTTGAGGCTGGGGAGATATTGGTTGTGACTGAGAATTAGACATCGCCGAATAACTGTTTCCTGAAAAAAAAATAATAATGATCTGAATAACTTTTGATAATGTGATGAATTGAAATATTATTATAGTCTAAAAAATGAATATATCTAAAATTAGAAATACATAACCCATAAATTAAAAATTAAGAATAAAGTAAATGGAAAAACTTATTTATGTAATACATATCTTAAGTGTATGTTTAAAATACAGTAGAACCTCGATTATCCGGGGTAATGATGGGGAGAGGGTCACACGGATAAATGAAAATCACGGTTAATCAAGACTTTTTATAATAATGAAATTTTTTATTTAATTATAATTGGAAATACCTAGGTACAATTTTATAATAATGAAATTTTAAAAATTTTGATTCAATTATAATTAGAAATACATAGGTACAATTTTATAATAATGAAATTTTAAAAATTTTGATTCAATTGTAATTAGAAATATACATAAGAAGACGTATACATACAATAATGTTATACATACGTCCTACATCCATAATATTGTATACCTACAACAAGTTATTAGGGCTTAAAATATGAAGTTATTGTCAAAAATGTCATTAATACGATTGTCGATATCGAGTATTATGTTTAAAAATGTTCGGAAGAATGGGCACAGTTAATCGCAAACACGGATAATCGAGTCATGGATAATCAAGGTTCTACTGTATTTGAAAAATCTTCAAGTTTAATCTAAAATTTAAATAACTAAAATATTTTACTTTGGTTATTATTACTGCTTTTGAAATTGTATCAGTCTAAAATTAGTCACAATTTTTTTTACAAATTCTATAAAACTTTAATAAATCATTAATACTAAAAATAACCACTATAATCTATAACTGGGTTAAAATAAAATAATTTTATGTTATATTCCTTATTTTTTTGTTAAGAACTGATGACATCAAAGAAACTTTTTGTAATGCTTCTTTGAAATTTGTATTAATATTATATTACTTATGTTAATTTAAGAACTAACAAAAATAAAAAATTAAGTATTTGCAATTTTCACAGTTCGGTTTGATTTTAATTACCAATAGCATTAATAATTAAAATTGAATATTAAATTAAACATTAAATTTACCAAGAGGTTGCGCTAAAGGTGACATTTGTGGAAAATTCTTCACAGAAAACATAGGTATAGTACTTGAACTATTTGATTGGCTGACTTGAGTTTGAAACTGCGTGAAGTAATTACTTATGTCTTTAGAACTCTGTACATCAGTTACAGTTGTAGTAACTGCAATATCAGTAGGATGGGATTGAGAATAACTATTCTGTGGAGGAAACACATTTGATGACTGGTTATTTAATTCTTGAACTGTAGCAGTTTCGGAAAGGTTCACAGGTGTTAAGGATGATGGTTCTTGAGACGCAGAAATAGCGGTAGACTCTTGTGATGTAAATGGTGGTAATTTTGTTACTTGGGGTGTCAATACATAAGGTTTAATTGTTTCAGAAGTAGATCCTAGTTGTTGAGGACTATACTGAGAATTTAAAACTTGGAATGTGGGATTAGAAGGATTTTGAAATGTAGTAATTTGTGGAGGAAAATAAGGTAAGGGTGCTGAATTGCTTGAATAAGGGATTTGTTGATCTGTCAGCGTGGTAACAGGTATTTCAGATGTTGGATTGTTGTAAAATGGTATTGACGCAGTTTGATTACTTTCATTCAAAGGTTCGTTAGATTTTTCTGCTTCAATAGTTGAATTATTAACAGTAACCGGAATATCAGAAATAATAGGTGGTTGTGGTGTCAGAACTGGTGGATTAATTACTTGTGGTACTTGAGCAGCAGTTGCCTATAAAATTAAATAAATAAGGTAAATTATTTTATTAAATTTCAAAACAATATTCTATTCTAATTATGAAATACAAGGTATGATAAAAAAATACCGGGATTTTTTTTTTTATTTATTTAAATATACAAATAATATTTCAAATATTAATTCTCTTCAAAGTATTCACCGCCCTATGTTATACACTTGTCCCATCTTTCTTGTCACTTTTTAAAGCAGTGCTGGAAGTCTTCAACTTTAAGTTGCTTGAGTTGATCTACCGCATTCTTTTTTATTGTTTCAATATCATCAAATCTTTGTCCTTTGAGGTCAGTTTTAATTTTTGGAAATAAAAAAAAAACCTAAGGGGAGAAGTCTGGTAAATAAGGAGGATGAGGTACAACTAGAATTTGTTTATCAGCTAAAAACTTACGGATTGATAAGACAGGATGAGCTGGCGCGTTGTCGATGTGTAACAACCACGATCGATTTTGGAACTGATTTGGACGTTTCTTACGGAGTTTTTCTCGTAATTTAATTAAAACTTCTTTATAGTAATTCTGATTAACCATTTGACCAGTTGGAACAAATTCGTAATAAATGAGGTCTTTAATATCGAAAAAAGTAATCAACATGGTCTTCACATTAGAACGAACTTGTCGAGCTTATTTGAGTCTTGGTGAAGTTACTGATTTCCATTGTGATGACTGTCATTTAATTTATATGTCATAACCATGGACCCAAGTTTTATCACCAATTATTACAAATTTAATGAACCCTGGGTCATTTTATGTTCGTTCTTTCAAACTTTGACAAACTTCAATTCGATGATTTTTTTAGATCTTGACACAACAATTTGGGACCATTTTTGCACAGACTCGTCTCATACTTAAATCTTCAGTCAGAATAGTTTAACATGATCCAAAAGAAATGTTACACTCACTAGAAAGTTCTTTTATCGTCATTCGTCGATCTGATCGAATAATTTTTCTTACTTTTGCCACTATTTCCACATTTATTGATATTGAAAGTCGTCCAGCATAAGAGTCATCATTAATGTCTTCACGATCCTCAATAAACCTTTTATGCCATTTAAATGTTTTAGACCTGCTCATCGCTTCATCTTCAAAAGCTTTTTTAATTATTTCAAAAGTTTCAATTGCTGATTTACTGAGTTTAACGCAAAATATAATACAAACACGCTGCTCGGGTTTATTCGACATGACAAAATTGGCAGACACAATAAAAGTATCTGATTTCAATGAATTGTCGTTCATTACTAACAGTTAATATTAATTCGCGGCTTGAATAACGTAATTAAATGTTATCTCTACTTTTATTTGATGTGTGTACATTCTCAATTTGATTATTATTAGCTCAGATATGATTTTAGTCCCGGTATTTTTGATCACACCTCGTATACTCATTAGCTTAATTATACACATTGCTTCACTACATAACAGATATATAGAAAATAGATCCAAACATGTGTTGCCTGACTTTTGAAAACTGATCACTAATAAATATGTTTCTTAATTTGAATAGAGCACTCAAGTTATATATCATTCCAGAATAAAATGAGCTGTTAAAATGATTTTATTTATTAATGAAAAACTAGCTTACCATCACATTATTAACAACAGCTGGCTTTATAATAGGTGGTGCTGGAATGTCCTTGTTTTGATATACTTGTCTAACAGGTATTCTATGCAAGTACCCATAACCTATTCCACAGCCCAAACTTTAAAAATAAACAATTTAAAAAATTAATTAATTTAAAAAAATTAAACGTATGAAAAATATTACCTTCCCTCGCCAGGCCATGCAGAATCTGGTGTAATTGAAACTTCTCTACAAGTATCCAATTCAACATTATATACATATAATTTTAATGGTCTACCTTCGTGTGCTTCAATTAGCATAAACAAATCTTCACTTTCATGCATTATAGAATCAGATCCAATTATATAATCTGTATGTGACCTAAGACCAGCTTTATCAGCAGGAGAATTTGGGTGAACATCCTAAACATTAGTATATTTGATAAAATGTACATATACAAACAATTAAAATTATTTAGTATTAATTAATTATTTACTAACAAGAATATGCCAGACATTTTCATTGGCTCCAGCAAAAGAACAAAATCGTATGCTCACGCCCAACAAACCTTGACCACCCCAATTACTATTTGGTACAATTTTTACTTCTCTAACTATTTGTGTTTTGCTACTGTAAACAGCTAATATAATTTCATTACCATCTCCATTTTTTAACATTTCTTTAAGAGTATCATTGTCTTTATCCTTAAAATATTGATAATACAAAAATTATTAATTTCCATTACATTAATAAATAATAAATACATGATATGTTATGATTAAATTTATAATAATTATAAATTAAATATACAAAATATATTTTGAATTTATTTATTAATATATTAAAACTAAATAAGTTTTTATCAAATAATTATAATTTTGAACAATTATAGCGTAGAATGCTTGAGTCAACTCTTCTATTGCTTATTCACAAATAAGTGTCCACTATCCAAATCAGAATTTAAATTCATGCCACAATATGGCATAAAGGTTATAAGTTGTAATTATATAAATAAACAATAATTATTGTTGAATAATGTCTATTATAAAATTACTCAACCATTATTAGATTTTATGAATTTAATATAGGTTAAATACTTTATAAACATACTTTGTACACACGGAATATTACAATTTGTAATTTACAAAGTAATTTAAATATTGTTTAATAATAAATAAGTGAAGGTTATCAGTTTATCACTATATTATTATGAAAAAGCAAATTAAAAAAAAAATGTTTATTTAAATCATACTGATTAAGTACAAAACAAATAAGTTACTAATTCTTAGTCATTGCAATTATTATTATTAAATTGTCTAGACATTTATATAAGAATAAAGTAATAGTAAATAAAGTATGAACTTAGTATAACTTACAAGTCGTGTGTTATTAATAGCCAATATGAAATCAAAAAAAGCTTCTAAACCCGCTATTTGGCCTGGTGAATTATCTTGAACCTAGATAATAATAATTGAAAGGAAATATTAGAAAAATATTTTAAAATCGTTCTGTGTATTATATGTTAAGAAATTATTTACAAAAATAAATTCTATTAAAACTTTTGATTTACTTTCAAAACATGATATCCTTCTGTTCCTCCACCTGGAATAGGAGTACTATTTGCAGATCCCATTTTAATTATACTATAACGCTAATAACGTTTAATTTAACTTATGTCTTGAAAGTGCCTTCGCATAGTACGGTAAATACAACAATATTAATTGATTTTAATTAAGAAAAATGTATTTCTATTAAATAATAAATTTTTACTTACTAGTTTTTGACAAATGACGTGTAACTACTATGTTTTATCTCTTATCAATAGATGTGAATATACAATTAAGATAATATTATCAAAGAATAAGATATTAAATGATATCATTATCACCTACAAATATGCCATGTGTATTTTACTAATAAAAATATTGGAACATTTGGAACGTTTATTATTGCTTATTACTTAGTAAAATATTTAGAAAGACAGAAGTCACAAAAACTTCAAGAACGACAGCAACTTCTAACTTGTGTATTGGTTAAAACAAAGTATATGACATTTTAAAAAAAGTTCAATTATCTTAAATTTCTAGTTTATAGTTGCAATAAATTTTGTAAATTAATATCATTTTTAGCTTTTTCAAAGTTAAAATGCCTATTTTATGTTCTGCAAAATGTGGTAAGAACGCAGTATTAAAGGTAAAGTAAATAATGTTAAATAATAATATTACATATTACATAATACGTTTAAACAAATAATAATAACTATCAATCAGTTTTTAACTTATCCATTTACTATAAAAAATTTTTTTTAATATTAATATTATTACTGATTTATAAAATAAATTTATATTTTAGCGCCCAAAAACTGGAGATACATTATGTAAAGAGTGTTTTTATTGGGCTTTTGAACTTGAAATTCATAGCACCATCATAAATGGTAAACTATTCAAAAAAGGTGATGTTGTAGCAATTGCAGCTTCAGGTGGAAAAGATTCAACTGTACTAGCACAAGTTCTTAAAACTTTAAATGAACGCTATAATTATGAGCTAAAATTGGTGTTATTGTCTATTGATGAAGGCATTACTGGTAATATTATAATTATTTTATTCAATTAAATTAATATTTAAAATTTATACTAAATTTAAATTATTGTGCTTTTAGATATTTTTTTAAGTTAAAAAATATGTTTAATATTTTTATCATTAATTAGTGCTGTGTAGTAAATAATTGTAACATACTTTATTTCTTTGCTCTTGTCTAAACTATTATTACTCAATATTGGATTTCTGAAGGAATATTAATCGTTACTAGAAAAAAAAAAATATAATTTATATCAATTAATAAATTATAATTTAGATTATTTTCTTGAATTAAATATATTTAAACTATTATATTATAGTATATGCTATTTTAACAGGTTATAGGGATGATAGTCTAAAAACAGTACAAGAAAATAAAGATGAATATCAAATGCCTTTAAAGATATTATCATACGAAGAGTTATATGGTTGGTCAATGGACAAAATAGTTGCTGAAGTTGGTCGTAAGAATAATTGTACATTTTGTGGTGTATTTAGAAGACAAGCTTTAGATAGAGGTGCAATGTTATTAAATGTGAACTGTATTGCTACTGGTCACAATGCTGACGATATTGCAGAGACTGTATTGATGAACATTTTAAGAGGGGATGTTGCAAGATTACAAAGATGTGTTAATATTATTACTGTAAGTACAACAAAATATCATATAATTGAGTATGCCAGCAGGGAAATTAAATCAATTAATTAGTTAAAAATATTAAGAATACTTTTGTAATATTCTTTTTCTGCACAAACATGTTTCATATTATTTGATCATCATATTTAAAATCTAAGCCATTGTTACTACATTAATTTAAATAGTTAAAAAAAATAGGGTGTGATGAAAATGGCAATGCTAGACCTTCAATGAGTCACTATTTGGGTTCTTATTGACATAGCTATTTCCCATATAATGAGAACATAATATGTTCGAATAATCAAACTAATGTACCGTACCTTATATAACAATAAAAAATCTCACATCTAATGGCCATAGTAACCAAACCTTAAATATTAATAAAAACAATCAAATCCTTGTATTGAATTATTATTTTATATTACTATTGATTTTTACTAATCAATTATTGTAAAGGTGTTTAATTTTGTTGTTATATATTAATTATTAGATTACAGAAGGCACTATTCCTCGATGTAAACCTTTAAAATACACATATGAAAAAGAAATAGTAATGTATGCATATTTCAAGAAATTGAATTATTTTTCAACTGAATGTATTTTTGCACCAAATGCATACAGAGGATATGCTAGAACATTTTTAAAAGATTTAGAAAGATTAAAACCATCATCTATTATGGATATAATACATTCTGGTATTATAAAAATAAATAAATATATTTATCTATAAAATTTTTAACTATTTTTAATATTTTTAAGGCGAGACAATGTGTATTAAAAAGGACGTAAAATTGCCGGACATTGGTGTTTGTACTAAATGTGGATTTGTGTCAAGTCAAAAAATTTGTAAAGCTTGTATGTTATTAGAAGGATTAAATCGAGGATTACCAAAACTTGGAATTGGCAAAAGCAGCAAAGCTAATAAAGCATTAAAATCATTACCAAACCCAAAGCTGCTACATTTTTAAAATATTTATTTATTTTTAATTTGTAAATGTTTTCATGTAAATTGATCTATCTTTGTATATTTTACAATTTTTATAATAATCAAAGAATTGTAAATATAAATATTTTTGTGAACTTTTATTATTATTTACATATTTGCATTTGTTATATTTTATATAAAGTATTTCACACCTTGCATATTTTGAAATTTGATAACCTGTTACCTGTATGTAAAGAATTTTTGCCAAAACTGTTGAAATAATATGGAATTGAATATTAGGTAGTTACTGGCTAGGACTATGAATGATTTTATTTGGTACACGTATTGAATAAATAATTAGTTTTTTTTTTTAGTTTAAAAAAAATTATAGAATTAGTGGTCTATTTGAGATTTAATTTAAAAACTTTGATTATGTTTGTTGTTAAATTTTTTGCAATAATATAATTATCAATATTAGTCAATTGATTCAATAAGATTCAACAGTAACGCCAAGAACCATATTTTCAGTTATCAAAATATTAGTTTGTGATTAACAAATGTTAAAATATATATAAGTCATCAAATTATATGAATTTGATAATTATAATTCATATTATTTAAACTTTCCAGATATCTAATGTAATCACAGCATTCATAATTTATCAACGAATAATAATATATACTATGTATACTAAAAATACTCATATGTATGAGATTAAATCAACTATCAAGCATAGTAAACTTATTTAGACATAAATACGATATTATTATATACATTATATAGTGTCACTAACTCTGGAATGGGTGACAAATCCTCGCCACCTATACACATGTTTACAAACAGTACCGCTCCACAAAGCAAAAACAGAATAGAGACTAATAACCATAGAAACCTTAAATCTATAAAAATAAAAACTGACGAACGAGGAATATAAAAATTAAAGGGTACTAAAGCACACACTGCAAATGTCAACCATTAAATAGCGCTATTTAACACGGTCAATTTTTTCATTTGACATATATTTTGTTTAATTTAAACTTGTTATTTTGTACAATTTATCTAGCATTCTAACACCAAATTATTGATTAATTGATAAATTAATGATGAACGTTGAAATAAACAATTAAATAATAAACAATTTTTATTGACATATTATTATAAAAATAAATCAAGTTATCTCAAAACTAGTAACTGTGATGATGAATATTGATACTTAATGAAGAAAATATAAGACAATTGCAAATTTTGTACTCATTATTAACTTAATCTTAGTCAAATTAAGAGATCGAAAATAATAATAATATCAGTTTTATTATAATTGTTTTTTTTTTTAATTATTATTATTATTAAATAGCTTACTTTTTGTACATCTATCATTTATTTGCTTGGCTTTAGGATGATGTTGTAGAAACAAAACATCCAAATTGTTTTTCCATGCATTAAACACGATCAGAGCTTAATAATTAACAGCCAACAAAAATAATAAAAAAAAACATTGATCATTTTGTCCCTAACATAAATCACAAAAGGAAAGGTAACTTAAACATAATACTTTCCTGGTCTATAATTATAGTTAATTATTAAAGTGAGGTTGTTTGGGTTTTAATAAAAGGACTTAAGAGTCGGTCAAAAATTATTTAAACATTTTAGAATATATAATCAACATTTGATAGAATATTGTACCTACCCAATGGATTTAAAAAAATTATACAAAACAAAAAATTATTATAAAAAACTTAATTCTATGATGAAATATGAATAAATTATATTTTTTGAAAGACTCTTATAATATACAAATTTTAAATCGTTCATTGAAAAATCATTTTGTTTACAAGAGAGAATAATTGAATGTTATTATACATAATAGTATAAAAAAATAGTAGCTAACATTTTTGTTCTAGTGAGTAATGAATTAAGTACAAAGTAGGAGATTTTAATTTGTGTTGCTTGCTCTATTATTCAATTTAATTTGACAAAAAAATAAATGATAACCAATAATGTAATTTATACATTCATTGAACTTTAAGGAAATAGGAAAATTAAGTTTATAAAAGAGGGTCATTCAAAAATTATCTAATATATAAATTAATTTAAAAACTTAATAAAAACTATTGATTTTATATAAATTCATACAATTTCTTTCTTAAAAAAAATATATTGTTTTATTTAATTTATATTCAATCAATTAAAAAATTATATACCTGATGAAAGTGCTATTAATTAAATTTTTATATACATACTTCTATAATCAAGGAAAAATTAATTTTAAGAAATAGGGAATGGACAATTATACATTAAAAAAGAAAAAATAATTTACATAATTTTTGAATGACACCAAATGAAGTTCACTTTTTGGTATCGCAGATTTAATAACAAATTAGACAATAAATCTGAGGTACACAAAGTACAATACAAAAAAATTTTATATTAAACTATGAGAAATTTAACTATGTTGCTAATAGTATTTCTATTTTAAGAGTTTTATGCTTGAAACAAAAACAAAATTATTGAAAATATGTCAGTTTTCAAGGAATAATATAAATGGGACATAAGCCTTAGTACTTTTTGATTAGAGAATAATTAATTCAGAAAAAATATTAAAGCAGTCTGTTAATATGTACAACATTTGGTTAGTATGTACATACATATAAACAAAGACTATATTAAGTTTTTTTTTCAAAATTAAAAAATAAAAATAGTATACTCCAAATTCCTTTTCTCCAAATGTTCACATCATATCACATGTTGTAAGGGTACAAATAATCCTTTTGTATTCATGGACTATATTCTAAGTATTTTTTTTTTTTTTTTTTTAGTGTATGACTATGTGAAAATACATTATTTTCATTTCAATTTAATTCTCTATCTTCCAGATACTTATACTCGAATGTGAAGCCTTCTTTTTTCCGTTGACCCCATTTTTCATAGTCAAAATAAATGTATGTGCCCTTAGTTAAATAATAATAATAATTAATTTGTAAACTAAAATTAAAAATGTATAATCGCATTTATTTAGTTATCAAACCTGTTCATATTCTTCATTAATTAATTTAGGTTCTTCGTGTCGCTGAAACCACATCATATATTTTGTATGGAATCTCCAACTTTGTTTTTTTAATGCCTTAGCAGCTAAATACTGTGCTTTAGACCCCTCCATGTAATAGAATATAAAAAATAGGGATTCTGTTGAAAGCCTCTGGAAAAATTCTAAACTGTCAGAATGAGGAAGAGGTCCCTAAAAACATAAAATATATAAATAAAAAAACATAATAGTATTTTTTAAATCAGTTAATTACTTGATTATAATAATGAGGTGTTGAACATGGATTTCGAGGTAAATATAATTTTATTCGTTCAGAATCTGATGGATGAGGTAAATGTACAAATGCAGATTCAAGCATCGTGAATTGAAATTGATGGTCTTTAGAAAGTGGCACTGGACCTAGTGGAGCTACTCCTAATAAAGGAGAAATGTTAGCTTCAAACAAAACAGGTGGCTGTTGTGATGGTTGTTGCTGCAAGCTTAGTTGACTACTTGAATTTTGAACTATATTTGAACTCATACCTTCAAAATAAAATATATAAATTAAGATTACAATAAATAATTTCTTAAGATACACGAAAGTGACAATTTAAAATGTTAACATTATTTACAAACATATAATATTAATATAAGATAAAAATACTTTACCAATCTTACGATCTTAAGATAGAGATAATATCTAAAATAATTATAATAGTTGGAATCTCAAAAAGATTTTGTTGCTAAGTGTCTATTATGTTTTGGAATATATCATAGATGAATTTAAAATAGTATTTATTTATTAGTTAGAAAAAATTTAGATACCATTAGAAAAACTTAGAAAAACTAATAAGAACAAATTCTATGCTTATCTTTATAGTATTTTTAGAAATTAGTTCTCCATGTTTGAATTATACAAAATTAAATAAGCAAAGATGAAAAATTCTGGATTGAATGATTTTTATGATAAATAAAATAGTTTACACAAATGAATTTTAGTTGTAAAATAATAAGTTTTTTAGCTTTAAAAAAAAAAATGCGAGATTCACTGGTATACTGTATTTAATCAATCACAGGTGGATTTTCCACTTAGAATCAATTTGACCATAAGCAAATACCCATGAACTGAATAGCACTCAAACTGAGATATATTAAAATCAAAATACACTCAGTAAAGTATCTAATCTGTCACATAAACCAAATTCAGCTTTAAACAACATTTTATTTGACTTCTATAAAAAACTAGACATGCTTTGGATCACTGAATAATAAATGGTATCAATATAACAAGATTCGCTTAAGAGATTCACTGGAAGTAATTAATAATATTAATAATAAATATTGCTATAATTTATGCAAGTACATTGTTAAAATAAAATTTAGAAGTAATAGTATCAGTAGAGCGCACACTTATTCATGAAATAATTTTAACATAACCTGATGAGAATACATGGATATTTAAAAAAAAAAAATCCATTTTGTTCCAGGAGTTATATAATTGCAGGTAAAAAGGTACTAGAGGTTTTGGTGATTTTAATTTATACATACTCTATTTTTGAGTATACATGAGTGATGATAGAAACAAAATTAAAGCCTTCTTAAATATTTAAAATAACTTTAAAAGCTTCATAAAGAATCATAAATAAATAAAAATTACTATATGTAATATTGATTATTATATAATTACTTTTAGTATCAGTAGACTGTTGTGATATATCAATTCCAGCTTGATCAATAGCTTTTTGGGCAATGGTCTTTAATGATGACAAAGCCGTATGAGAATCCACTTGTACTGGTGATGTTGTAGAACTTAATGACGAAGGTGTAGTAGACACACAGTTTACAACACTATCAGAATTATTCACATTTCCTTGTGTAGTTGACACGTTTGTATGGTAAGATGATGGAGAAGTTGGTATAGATGTAACAACAGGTGTATTTTCAACAGATTGTGATTCTAAGTAAATAACAATTCAAAACTTAAACAATAATGTTACAATAAGAGCAAATTAAAAATATAATTTAATACTAAAGCCATATTTACTGTCCACATATTTTTATTTTCATATAAAATAAGCTTTTTAATAATATCAAATATTTAAAAATTAAATTTTATAGAAATTAAAAACTGCAAAAACTATTTAAATTTAAACTTAGTAAATCATATTAAATAATAAGACTAATAATAATCTGTAGAAGAAAAACTTAGAATTTAATTTAGATATCACTATTTTATTGTAATAATATAAAGTTGTTCTGTGACTTGATAAAATACTATTAACCAATTATATTATGAAAATAAATTGAAAACTTAGTATTTTTTATATTAATGAAAATAACTTTTCACGATAATTTAATCCATAAACTATGTTTTTTATGCATATTATATTAAATAAAAACTTACGTGTATGTTTATTATGAATATTTGAAGCTGCTACAGTTGCAAAATTACCAACAGTAGTAGTACTTGTTTGAGTAGTTATAGACTGGGACACAGTAGACACACTGGATGTTGTGGTGGTATGATTACTAACAGATGATTTAACAACAGCAGCTATAGTTGGACCTTTACTGTTCACTGTAGAATTAGCATTACTTGGAGGATTTGCTTTCACAGGAGTTGGTTTAATTGTATTCTAAATTAAATATACATTTTAAATTGATAGTAAATTATTAGTTTTAAATAAGAATATTAAATAGTGTACAAACTTTAGTATTTTCCTCTTTTTTTTTACGAACTGGTGCTGCAACAATAGAAGCTGAAGAAGCAGTAGTTACAACTGTAGATACTGTAGAGATCATTGGAATTGATTCACTAATTGTAGCAATAGTTGTTATTGATACTGGTGTAGAAGTTGTTATTACAGCCACTGAAACTGGCTCTTCGATGGAATGATTGTGTGACATTGGAGCAGGAGATGCTGGACAAGAGCCGCTAAGACTTGCAGTTTGACTAGTGGGTGATCCTATAAGTATAGTTCAATACAATAAAATATACAAGAAATTGATTACAAATTAAATTCTAAAAAAAATAAGATAATTTTAATGACTATTCTATTACACATAAAAAATATTAAAAAATTTTTTTTAACACTATATTGTTACCATTTGCTTCTGCAGAATTATTAGCAGCAACTCCTAATTCAAGTTCAGCTAATCCAATTATTTCATCATACAAATCATCATTATGCATAAAATCCTCTTCATGTGATGCTTCAATATAATATTCTACATCATCTTTTATTGAACGAATCTACAAATAAGCTTATTAAATAATTTATTTATACAATTATATAATTAATAATTTTGTATACCTTTTTGACCTCCACTGACATATTATCTAACATTCTTAACACAGTCTCTAATTTACGTATATGGAACCTATGTCGTTCTACTCTTGCTTTGAGTTCATCTAGTTTTTCTTGTTTATCTTTGTCCAACCTTTTTTTCTTCCCAACAAGTAATGACTCCATTTCACATTCATACTGGTCAATCTATCATACAAAATTTTAATACTAATTAATAAATAAAAATAAATTATGAAACTAAAACTACCAAATAAATGAAAAATTTTAATCATAATATTAAATTAAAAATGAGAAAAATTCAATAACAATGAGATTAAAATAAGCCCCTAACTAAAAATCTAACCTAAATATTTCATTAAACCAAAATAATTAATTACTTGAATATTGAGCGACTCAATTGATTGTGTTAACCATGCACTTATTTCTTCTCTTTCTTTTTGAGCAGGATCTAATTTTTGGGCAGCACCCAAACCTTCTTTAGAATAAGCTTTAGTCTTTGTTTCTCGTTCGACTACTTTGAACCTTTCCATTTGCTATAAGTAAGAATAAACACAGTTTAACATTTAAACAAACTAAATTATGTGTATAAATATACTAACGGTTTCTATAAGTTTGCGGTAATCAAGTAATGCACTTTTATCCTTAATTTCTGCAGACGCAATCCAGCTTTTGATTTGATCGCGTAACCTTTGCAATTTCTTGATTTCCTTTTTGAGGTCAGCCTCATATTTTTCTTTTTGATTACTATTTGTAGCATTATGAACTTTTTGCCAAATATCCTCAAATGTTTCTACACCTTCGGTAACTTTCTTAAGGCACCGATCAATTTCACCTAAAAATTATATATAAGTTATTGAATTATTGCTCTCAGGCAATATTGCTTTTAAATAATAAAAAAGAAAAAGTTATAATTTAATGTAAAACATTTGTAGTTGATACTAGATAAAGTTATTTTCAATGTAAGATTTGTAAAATTATTTGACATTAATCTACATGTTATTTACATAAATATGAATAAAAATGCTAAAATTATAAACAAAGGTAGTCATATTTAAAAATAGCAGTTATTTAATTATAAAACTCCTTAAATAAAAACACTCATATATTGTTCCTAGGAAATACCACTATTAATGTTCTTTTCAACAGTTTTTGAGTACGAAAGCGAACAATAATAGAATGTGTACCGATAATATTTACCTTGAAGTTTTCTAGAAGCAGCCATAACTAAGGAAACATTTCAAATACGAATATCAACATAACATTATTTAAACTACATACAATATAAAAATTTGTCACAATTTTGGACTAAAAAATTAATAAAAAAATTACAATTTTTATCATACAAATTTCACCACTACCACTGTTTGTGTTTGTGTGTAAACGCTTTGTTCAAGATGGCTACTGATAATTTTCAGGTTATTCAAAATTGAACAAACGACTAAATAAATACAGTAAAAATCTAATCGTATTTAATATTTTAGAATTTTATTTTGAATAATTTTTAAATGAAATAACTCCTTAAATTTATATGAATTAGGATAATTCATTTCTCTAAAGATATTAAACAAATATAACTATGAATATTTAAAACACATTTGTTGTTGACTGAATTCGTCTTGCTGATGTACGGTTTTAATTAAAACAGCTGTTCAAGACGTTATCTATTATCACAATCCACAGATTATGTAACGAGTTGTCAGAAGAAGAGGAGACTTGGATATATAATATATTAATAAAATCTTAAATTAGTAATTAATAATTACTCAAAAATTAGTATTACGTTTAAAATAATATAGATATTCGGTATTAGACATTTGAAACATTTTTTCATTTTTCAAATACTTTAAGAATTAGTTTAGTATATGACATATGGTATAGTATGTATATTTCTATAGTATTAATCATATTAGGTACGTTGAAAAAAATATAAATTGGGTTACTAATGTGTATCCAACATAAATTTTCCACATAGTGCCTTGATTTGCGTTTATTTAAACCATACTTATTAAGAAAAATATAAATAATTGTAATTTAAACTTACTAACAATAATAATATACAAAAATTATAATTAAATACCTAAGTATGAATTTTACAATCTAATAGATAACTATGCTTTACAATTTGAAATTAATTAAACGCTTCATACACTTTATAATATAATACTGTGTTAAAAAAAAATTCATTTTATTCATTAAAATTTATATACTACCTTTCATATTGTGTTTTATTGATTTGTTCATAGTTAAAAATTATTTATCACTTTTTTGTTAAATTGATTTTAAAAAGTTTAATAATTGATAACTATCACTACATTTCATGTATATATTCGTATTGCGAAATATAAATGAATACATATATATACTATTTTTATAAATGATGTTCGTTTCTATGTACAATTGTCACTTTTTATTTAAATATTTTCAAATTAACTTTTTTATTAACTAGTAACTACTATTCATTAATGGGTATTAAATACATTTACAGTTGCTGCTTAATATTTCTGATTGCAATATTGCTTGGGAATTTCGTATCTTTTTACATTGACGTGTTACAGTTATACTTTTCATAATGTGAGTTCTATTTTAAAATTTTTTTGGGAATTTAATAATATTAATAGCATTTTTGGTTCTGAAGATTTGATAACTGCAATTTGAGAAACATATTTTGTAATAATATTTAGGATTATGTAATTTTGTATCGTTGATATGGGTAGCATTAAATTATTTAAATTATAGTTCATTCTTATAAATTATGGTTTGTATTTGTGACTTAGAGATCGTTAGACTGTTTTAGTTAAATGAATAATTATAAACTACAGACACACGTCACTTTTAGGAAATAGAAAGTAGGTAGGTATATCTTCTCTAGATTATGATACGTACAATATAGTGCAAGTTCACACGACGGTACTATAGGTAATAACTTATAGGTATCTCAGTATCTGTGATGTTTTACTCTCAACATTAGTCTTTTAAAACCACAATAGTCTGCCTGACATTATTAAAGTCTTTTAAGTCTGAGACTGGAAAGATTTGACTTTGAAACACGAAGTTAATTAATGACGATTTTTATATTTATCCATGTACCATGGACGCATAACAGATATCTGTCATATTCATACATTTATCTGTTGTACGGACGTCAAACGTGATGTACCTTGTTCTCGATATGTGTCGCTAGTGAGGCAAACAGATTTACTGAGCGACGACGGGCGTTCAATATTATAAATCGCACGATCGTCATAATTTGTAGATACGTTTTTAATTGTTGTTCCAACGAGACAAAATGGCCCAAACAATGGAAGTAGATCGAGCGGCAACCGTAGAGGTATGCGAAATACTATGGAGACTGCAACATATATTGAAAAATATCGTAGATGGAAATTTAGATTGAACAGTGTCGTAATATTTCTGACTATACGTCCTGATTTATTTAAAATAAATATTATATTATATTGGAACTGTACTCTGTCGATGCGTTTGCCCGTGTGGCCGTGTCGTGTTCTGTAGGACATAGTACAGCATTATAATTGTGTCGATATTATTGCGAGTGCGTGCGTCTGTATATCCCGTAGTTGGTAGTGGTGCGAGCAGCTATATAATATATTATTTTCTATGCTGCAAGCGGCGTACCTCATCACTTTCGTGTCTGTGTCGAAGTCTCGTACGTGTGTAGGGTGTGTGTGTGTGAGTGTGTGTGTGCGCGTGTTTGTATTTGTGTGTTCCTGTGTGCAATGTGTATGTTGGCTGCATTCTATCTTCCATAGTGAAATTGCTACTTTTAAACAAAAGGCTTTAAAAATAAGTTTTAAATTATTTCCGTGCATAAACCTACGAAATACTCAATTTATTTCGATCTGATTTGGCATAACCATATTACAGTGACAGATCAAATACTCGCTTGAGGTACATCGAAGTTATTTTTCCTTTCCTTTTTGAAAATCATTAAACGGATCACCCACAGTAGCGTGGTGGTAGTGGTGGTGTGGAGTGTGGACTACGTGACATTTTAGAAATACGGGATGGACGTCCATCGTTCGAAACGCAATCCTTGGCTCTTGACAATGCAATGTACATTTTCAACTTCTAATGTTCGATAAACATTAAGTTATAAATACGATACTTTTTCGATCAAGTTGTTTTAAGTTTTTATAGAAAGTGTTTTTATCTCTGTTTAAGTAAGTAATTATAATTTTTTTTTATATATACGTATATAATATTATCTATACCTATATCATAGTATTATATTAAAATGAGTGTGAAAAGAGATATTAAGTGTAAACTTGAAATTGATGAACCAAAACAAAAAGAATGTCCTGAAGGTAAATTTATTGATCCTGTCAGTCTTATGGAAAACGGCAAATTTGTCTTCAAAGTTCCACCGGAAGCTCCAGTTTTTGAACCTACTGCAGAAGAATTTAAAGATCCATTGAAATATATCGCTAAAATTAGAAGTGTAGCACAAGAACATGGAATTTGTAAAATTAAACCACCATCTAATTGGCATCCTCCATTTTGTGTTGATGTTGATAACTTTAAATTTACACCAAGGATTCAAAAACTAAATGAATTAGACGCAAGTACTAGAGTTAAACTTAATTTCTTGGAAAAAATTGCCAAGTATTGGCATTTACAAGGGATTCGTATTAAAATACCAGTATTAGAACAAAGGGCTGTAGATTTATATTCTCTTTATAAAATTGTAGAATTTGAAGGAGGTTTTGATGAGGTATGTTTGGAAAAAAAATGGGGAAAAGTGGCTAGTCGTATGGGTTATGTTTATGAAAAATCTTCTGGTACAGTGTTAAAAAGTCATCATGAAAGATGGCTTAATCCATTTTCACTTTTTCATGCTACCATTAAAGATGAAATTTATAACAAACCAATTAAAAGGGAGAGTAAAGTTCCAAATATTAAAGAAGAAAATTCTTTTGTTTCAAATTCCCCTACTAAAAGAGCTAGACTTAGCCCTGATGAAGATAATGAATCTGATGATTATATTAAGGATCCATTTTATTTAATGGAAAATAAAGAATTAAGAAAATTACAATTTTTTGGTGCTGGTCCTAAGATGGCTGGATTTAGTTCCAAGTGTAGAATAGGACATCTAAAATCAAAAGAATCTAAGAAGTCTAAAAGAAGAAGTAAGCCTGTTGTAGATTATTTGGATAAATATTATTGTCAAAAATGTGGAAGTGGCAAATCTGAAGAAACTATTTTAATTTGTGATGGTTGTGATTTAAGTTTTCACATGCAATGTTTAATCATACCATTAACTACTGTTCCAAAGGGTGAATGGAGGTGTCATAAATGTGTAATAAATGAAGTGATCAAACCTAGTGATGCTTTTGGATTTGAACAAGCTCAGCGTGAATACACGCTTCAACAATTTGGAGAAATGGCAGACCAATTTAAATCTAAATACTTTAATATGCCAGTTCATCTTGTGCCTACAGAAAAAGTTGAACAGGAATATTGGAAAATTGTTTCATCTATTGATTCCACAGTAATAGCAGAATATGGTGCTGATTTACATACTATGGATCATGGATCAGGATTTCCTACAGGTCTTGCACTTAGTGGAAATGAAGATAATACATTTTACAAGTCATACATAGAAGATCATTGGAATTTAAATAATATACCAATACTTAAAGACTCTGTTCTTAGTTTTATTAATGCTGACATATCTGGTATGAAAATTCCATGGATGTATGTTGGGATGTGTTTTTCAACATTTTGCTGGCATAACGAAGATCATTGGAGCTACTCAATCAACTATTTACATTGGGGTGAACCAAAAACATGGTATGGAGTTCCAGGAGCTTCTGCTGAAGCTTTTGAAGAAGTTATGAAGGAGACAACACCAGAATTATTTCATTCGCAGCCAGATCTCTTGCATCAGTTGGTTACTATTCTGAATCCAAATATATTGATGAAAGCAAATGTCCCGATCTATCGAACTGATCAGAATGCTGGAGAATTTGTTGTTACTTTTCCAAGATCTTACCATACTGGATTCAATCAAGGATATAATTTTGCTGAAGCTGTGAATTTTGCTCCTGCGGATTGGATTTCTATAGGTCGTGAATGTGTTAATCATTATTCCTCTCTCAAACGGATATGTGTATTTTCCCATGATGAACTTATATGTAAAATGGTGAACTCTTGTGATGACTTGACACCAAAAGCAGCTGAACTTGTGTATGATGATTTGAATGAAATGGTAAAGTTTGAAAGAGTTCAACGTAAAGCACTTTTAGATTGGGGTGTTACTGAAGCAGATTTTGTTGAATTTGAACATCAAGTAGATGATCTTAGACAATGTATGGTTTGTAATACCACTTTATATGTATCTGCTGTATCCTGTTCGTGTGATCCAAAAAGACTGGCATGTCTTCGGCATTTTAAACAATTATGTGATTGTCCTGCCCAAATGCATGTGTTCAAATACAGGTACACCCTTGATGAGTTTCCACCTCTACTACGAAAGGTTAAAGCTAAAGCTGAGCAAGCCTATGATGATTGAATATATTTACAATGATATTTTATTTTTTTATGGCTGTAAATAATTTAAGCCGTCATTGACAAGTATAACCAAAATATAAAATTAGGTTGATTTAATATAAAGATTTATGTTAAAAAAACTATATTTTTGCATCTCATAGTTATGTTATATATTTAAGTTTTTAGTTTAGAAATTGATTGTTTACCTAAATATTAAAGACAATTAAAGTACGTATTTTAAAATCTAATATGAAAAAAAAAAATTAATGTTATATTATTAAATATTGTACATTATTTTAGCTTAATGTATTTGTGTATTCTAATATACGATGTACCCACTAAATAGTTTGAACTCTTATTGAATTATTTGTATAACATTTCTAATGATTTAATTTTATATATATATTTTAAAAAATTTAGTATTATCTCATAATTACTAGGTAGGTTCTAATTATTAGAAATTTATATCTACATTATTATAATTATTATAATATTTATGTTAATTTTAAAATATGCTTATTATTATATTAATCAAGGTGTATGTTTAACAATTAAAAATGTTAACAACCTAATAGGATATTTAATTTATTACCTAGAAATATATGATTAATATCATTGCCAGACATCACCAAATATTATATTTTTTATTACACAAATTACTGATAAATTTATGAAAGTTGGCACATTAATTGATCTCTACAATAATATAAACTTGTGTAATATATTAAAATATGTTTGTGTGATTTTTTTTTTTCAAAATTAGAATTTTTAAGTTCCTATATAAATATTAACCTTTTTTATATCAATCTATCATCTTCCTGGATTTTAATTTAAATTTTTTTCTTATATGGAGTTATATATATATATATATATTTTTTTTTTAACCATACTTTATTGATTTATTTATGCCTATTATATTTATCTCAGCAACTGTATCTTGGTTTTTACATAACAGATAATTTTTCTGTGCAAGTATAATTCTGTACAAGTTATTAAGATTAAGTTGCAATTTTATCTTGTTAATTTAAATATATTTACATATTACTTTCATTATAATTAAAAAATAATGTACCTAAGTATATTAAAATTAATTTAAGCAAATTATTATTTTTTCTAATAAATGGAACTGTAGTAATTTTAAAGTAATTAACTATGCAATCAATATGAGTGGATTGTATTTCATTTTATAAAAACTAATTATTGAAAATGGAATTATATTTTAAATGAAAAACAACTTCTTTAATTTTTAAAGTGTATTTAATAATTAGTATACACATCTATAATTTTAGATTACAATGTAGTACAAATTTTTTTATTTTTACTTTTAAGTCTAGTTATAATAAATATTTAACTTGTACTAACTCTAATTTGTGTGTACTTAATGTTTATGTCACTGTTGAAAATTAACTAATAAAAATACTTAAAAACACTTTAAAACTCTAAATCACGCATTACTCATTATGCATTACCTACTTAAAAAAAGTATTTTAATAACCAGGGGTAGTAAGTTATAATAAATAATACTTGATATACATTTGACACTATGTTCCTAAAAAAGATAATATCCAACAAAATTATCTAGTAAGAAACCATCCTTCTATAATAAAATCTAGAAATATATATATACATATAAGATAAGTATTTGATCAATTTATTTTGTTGATATTTGAACAAAAATACGTAAATTTAATATTTTTAGTTTTAAACTTATATAAATATATATATATATATATATAATTTTTTTTTATCATAAATTTGTTTATAATTGTTATATTGGATTTACTGGTACATCATTATTTTTAACATTTTATAATATTAAACAATAATTAAAGTATCTGTTGATTATTGATTGTATTACACTACAACAAATTTTTATTACTTATCATTATTATTTAAAAAATTCAGCAAGATTTAACTGAAAATATATAAACTTATGAGCCCTGGTAATGACATGTTATGATAACAGAATTATTAACTGACTTAAGATTTGACAATATATAAACTTTTAATTCAAACAGATTTTAATGTTTCATTTAATATATTGTACATACATCTAAATTTCTTATCAAACATGTAAATTTATGTACACATATACTTATTTATAAAATGTACTATATTGTGAAATATTTTAGTTTATTTCAACAAGTTGTATAGATTTTAAGAATAGGCAGAACTGTAATATTGTCGATTGACCTACCTATATGAGCACATGTTAATATAACTCAAAATATTTTCAATAAAGAAACTTTATCATAACTTATAAGACTACATTTTTTGATATTATTATTATAAATATTATTCTTTGTATTATTATGTAGGTTAATCGTCAATGATATCAGAAACTTTTAAGGTTTAGATTTAAAAATTTGTTTTTTTTTTTTTTTTAATAGTTCTTTTTGAAGTATTTATTTTAATCCCATGTTATAAGTTACAACATTTACCATCCTTTGGTTTTAAAAAAATGTACTAACTTTTTCAAGATCATAGTTTATGTTAATAATTAAGAATCAATTTTCGACTGAATTAATTGTTCATAGCTAATGCCTGCATGATAGCAGCTATGAAATGTGTAAATATATTCCAACAGTTTAAAGGGTGGTGGTAATTTGGATGTATATGTATGTGTTTACATACATAAACTATAGAATTATTTGTAAAAATTATGTTTATTAAATTATTTTTACCTTAAAACTAAATGAATTATTAAATGTTTAAAATTATAAATAATATTTTCTAAACATAATATATCCATATATAACTATATATAACATGGGTTCAAATTATTAAAAGTGAATCTAATTAAAACTAAGCGAAAACATTAATAAAAGAATTCATATTTTTCAATTAATAAACTACGGTTCCAACCAAATATATATATATATTAATGGTTTCAGGCTTACTAAAAGAAAATTTGTGATAGGGTTTCGTAACAACTAAAAAAGTATTTTTCTAAATATTAAGTTAGGTTAATTATTTGTGTATAGATCTTATATTTTATACTTTGTAAAAATATAAATCTATTTAAAGAATACCAGTAAATATTTATTAATTACCAACTGGTCTTCTCATTAGTACATTAATTAATAGGTTATAATTAAAAATTCAAACAATCAATCTTTTAAAAATCAGAAATTTGCTACATTAGTGATATTTAACATTTTTTCTTTGGTTTTCTCACTTATTGTATTGGTCATTTTTCTTACAAGATCTTTTTGATAGTTCTGAAAAGATTTTAAATGAATTAATTTCAAGTTATTTTGTTTAATTATTACTAATACTGGTGACTTAGAAAATTAATTAATTGATTCTTCAAAAACCTATGCCAATGATAGTAATCAACGTAATGGTAGACACAGTCTAGAAATTAATAGTTTTATAATGGTAATGATATAATTTTAAGAGAGCATCTATTTTATAAAATGTATTAATAAACAATTATCTCAGTTTCAAGATGGCTGCTAAAAATACATTTTTACAGAGCTGTTTATATATTATTTAAAAAAAAAAAGAAACTATAGTGTCTTCAAAGATTTTGCTTTAATTAATTTTTAATATGTTGTTTCACATTTAAAATTAGTCCCCAATCTCCTGGTATATTTTTCACTTTCTAAAAGGCAGATATTAAAACGGTATCGTCATATGAAATCAATTAATTAACATGTATTATTATTAATTTGATACAATATATTAAATAATGCTATAATATAATATAATAAAATTACCTGAATAAATTTATAGCACTGAAACATAGATGCACCAGTATAAAGTGATGATAATTGAATTTGTTTTTCTTGATGTTTGTTAATAAATGGTATGACAGAAGCAAGAAATTTATGAGGACCATGTCTGGTTTTAAAAATTATAATTTTTGTAGTTGGATTACAATAACGAACTGAAATAAATTTAAAACATTAGAAGAATTATAAATACAGTAGAAAAGGTTTAGTAGAAATTATTATGATTGACTATAATAATAACTATAATTGAGGCAATCAGGACATATTTTGACAATCTTAATAGTTGAATATACATTTTTTACTTTGATGTTATAACTAAGGTTAACTATAAAGCTTTTAAACAATTTAGGTTATAATTATTAGAGAAAGTGCACAAATATTATTCCAGGAACAACTTAGGAATTTATACCATAACTCTTAAATTAATCTTTGGTGATTTAAGTTTATGTTTAATAAATTATAAAAATAACATTATTTATTTATTTTATTTTAGTTCTAATTATTAATATGGGAATAAAACAAATTGTTTTTACCTTTAAAACATGTTTTAATAGCTCCAGCTCCAAAATCTCCATGTAATGATTTGATCATATTTAATACTGATATTTGCAATTCTTTATCAGAAACTTTAAAATCTAAATTGTCATTCTCTAAAGTTCTTAATTGAATAACCATGTAACTGAAATTTAGATGTATTAGGAAAAAATATGATAGGAAAATTAACTTAATACCATATTGAAGTAAAATATTAAGTGTAGCTAATAGATGAGTCGATCTGCTGTAACCAATACTAATTTTTAATGTACATTTTATAATTAAAAGATGTCCTATTTGATTAAAATACAATTTTAGGATTCCTATTCATATTATTATAATTTATGATTAAAAACAACATAGTTAACAAATCCTTTTGTTTACAGAACAACTACTTGTAATTGAGTCTTATGATTTTATGTTACTATCAGGTTTAATTAAATATACATGTTATTATTTGTATTTTCTAACTTCTAGCATATTTAATTTTTGTAACCTGTAAGTTTTAAAAATTTAATTAATGTGTGTAAAAATCAGATCAATTTTTAAGTAATCAATTAAAATGATAATTTAATTTGTTTCTTGTTAATCATAACCAATATGTTGAAGATCATTGCTCTTGCAAGTTAATTAAATTATTTCAGAAAAGAGATTAATAATAAAACCCTATACTTAATATCTAAAACACTTTTACTTGGTTTATTTTGACAATACAAAAGTGGATTTCGTAAACACTGTTAATAATTATTCTAAAAATTACCGGTTTTTATATCGCACCATCCTTAAATCAGTTAAGAAATAAAACCTGTGTAATAATTAATAAAACAATACTAAAAATTATCTTGCTAGTTATTATAATTCAAAAGACTGAAAATTTGGTTTTCTGTATGAAGATAAATCACACGTTTCGTGACAAATTTTAAAATTTAAACCATTATCAATTTAACTTTGATCAACCTGATATAGGCATAGATAATATTATCTATAGATAGCGTAGTTTTAATATATTTTCATTGGTTAACAATTTCGCAGAGAATTTAAAATAAGTATATTTTTTAATTTTAAAGTTTATGGGTACCAAACCAGTAAACTTTTTTAAACCTTACTATTTTAATGGTGGTTTAAAAATCTTATTATGATCTTACAAAGATAAATTCTATACGGTTATGTTTTAATGCCCATGTTTAATATTATATTGTGAATTGAACATTGACGTATTATGTGGTTAAATCTGAAGCGACTTCAGCAACTCTCAAGTATGTATATTTATAGTATCAGTTATTTTTTTCAATTGTTTAAAGAAATATATATGTTGAACTCCACTTAGAAAAGTACAATTAACAATACACAATTTAGTTAGTAACCTAACCTAACCTGTGCGTAGTTATGATGAGGTACTATTTAGTATTTACCGTCTTCATCTAGTTTTTATTATGAAAATCTCACCCTAAGACTCGGGCTTTGATCACTTCTGAGTCGTCAGTTTCTCTAAAAAATCCATTATTCTTGTACCCTCAATATCATCTTCTTATCAAATCATACCTAACTGATCATAATTTTCAAGTGTTATTGTATCTATTGTATCAAATATATATAATTGTCTTTTAATGCATGTATACATCAAAGTAAATAATATCTCTAATACTGTATAAAATACTTAGGCGGAATTTGGTGGGGAGGGGACAAGGAGGTAAACTTATCGTATACCCCCCTCCTAAGTTAAATATAATTTAAACAATTTGTAATTTTTGTAAAATATTTATATTGAAATTACTTTTGTACAGTTATATAAGAAAATTTTTCTTCGTGTTAATTCAGATCAATATTACCATTAGTTAATATAAACTAAGTTAACATTTTGGTGGAATGTATTAGATAAATTGACTATGAGAAGATTTTTAAAGTAAATTGTGATCATTTTTTTCCGTGTTTGTAAGTTTTTACGATAATTATTTTTTTTATTTAATTATCATAAAAAACCTACATAATATGAACATAGATAAAGTTCTTACTGTCCAGTTAAATAAAAGGTAGATTTTCTTTAACACACTTGTATGATAGACTTTAAGGTCATCTTAATAGATATAATAAAATTTCATAAATATTTATAGAATAATATTAAGTAATTAATCATAGGCGGTGATTGAGGGGTTCTTGAAAGGGCTTAACCCCTCAAAATTATTGAACATTTATCAAACTATTAAATAGATACCTATTTTAAACCAATTGAAAGAAAGATTTAAGCCAGTTCTAAAATTTAATCAAATATCCACCTATGTATTTAATATTATATCAAAATGTTCTAACAACAACATAAAAAAGTTGTAATTAGTTGTTAGAGAAAAGAATTGTAAGTAGGTATTAATACAACCATTTAATTTCTAAATAAATTATAAACTAATACACATGTACATTATAACAAAACAGTATTACTGTACATAAGAGAACTATTGTAAGTCTTGATATTTAATAAAGGCAGTCTTCAGTTGAGAAACAAATTACACTATTTTTGAATTTTAATTTGTTCTAAACTAGTATATATTAGTTATGTGTCACATTTTTCATAAAACAACATATATACAACTGATTGTAGAACTTGTTGTAATGTAACTTCTTCAATGTGTGCATCAGAAGTAAAAAACCATCTATAAATTTTAAATAAAACAAACATGATTAATATTTTCCAGTATTTGAATAGTATGTTTTATTCAATATTTCTAAGACTCTGATCCTCTTTATCAGTGGTGTTATGAATTTTTAGTCACTACTTAAAATAAGTACCCACCAACCAATTGATTATTTATTAATAACAGACAGGATCAAAATGTATAGAATTTATAAAGATAGAATTAACAAAAGTATTACAGTAAAACTGTACAGTAAGATAAATTAAATAATAGTGATCTTAAATGTAAACAGTGAGCTGATAAGAGTCATTGGCAATGTAAATTAACAGTCATTAATTGGATGACAGTAGTTTCTGAAATAACATTATGGCTCACCCCCAAATTTATAAAAGCATATAAATTAATTAGAACATTCCCTCTACATTTACATAGAACAGTTGCTTCATAAAATAGCTTTTTTATGTTGCCACTTATATTAATATGTAATAAATATAAATAAATCCTAGTAACTCACATTTACTTGCCACGTGTATATGAATATGGTTTTCTTCATAGTTAACTAAGGTCATTTGTATACTATTGTTTAGTTATATGTATATATTTCAGAATTAATGATAAAATATTCAAATGCTTTTAGACAAAGTCATTACAATAGTAAATATTAAATTGGTTGACAGGACTAAAGCAGTTAATTTGTTAAATAGCTTAAGCTGTTAGTTAAGAACCATAATTTATAATTATCAATAAATGATCATACATTTTTAACATCAATCCATAATTTTTATGTTAAATCTTCTTCAAACCTAAATTGAATTATTTATACCAATTTTTCATACTCAGTATTTGTCCATGTCAATAACTTAATATTTTTGAAAAAAGCTGTTAAATAAATTATTAAGATATCAGAGAGTTATTGACAAATGTATAACTTATATGATATTTTTGTTATCAACCTCTTTGATCTTTACTCCATAAATATAACTCATATAACTATTTAAAAATCTAAGACAATAATTTAACTATTTATATAGATTATAGTTATGGAAATTTTAAAGCTAATGTAGGAAATATTAAGAAAATACATGATATAGTAGATAATAGCTAGGTAAACTATTATGAACTAATTCATACACAACTATACAATCTAAAGTACTATAAAAAATATCCATCAATTTGCTAAAGATTTTTTACTTTTAATTTAAAATACTTTATCAACTATAGGTCAGCTTTTTAAAATAAATTTAGTTTTATATTTAATTTTTTCACGAATGGATAATTATGAATTTCAATTATAATAATTACTAATAAAATATTATATGATAACATTATTTGTAAAAAATGTTATACAATATTTGAAGTATATCTAATTGATATTTTTTGGCAAGGTCTGTTAAACATGCAAAAAAATGCATATTTATAAAATATATTATTTGTTAACAAAATGTCCTAATAATGCAAGTAATTAAAAAAAATAAATATATATTATGTATTATGCAGATTTTAATAGAGGAATTAAAAATGGGAGCATGCAAAATATTGAAATACCTTGTTTCACTGCACCTGTGTCTAGAATGATCTGTTTTGGTTCCTCTCCTATATGTACTGAAATGACCAGAATTATGTTCACCAACATGGACAATGACAGCTTTTAACCTGTATGTATACTTATTTCCTCTTAACCTACACAATGCATATTTAAAATAAACCTTATTAAGGTAATTAAGAAATATAAATAAGCAATAGCATATCACAGTACGTAAAACATAAATATATAACCTATATTATCATAAAATTATAATAAATAAATAATAGAATAAATCCATTGAGAAAACACATAATATTACTTTAAAATTAATTAATTTTGAGATAAAATTAAAATCATACAATAATACTGTGTTAAAATATTAATGAAATATTTATATGACAATTTTAAAACAAATTTTACATTCTTGTATAAAAAATGCAAAAACAAAACATTTAATATTAAATAAATAATTTCAAAAAACTTCATAATTATTTAAAATGTTTACCTTTCTAATGGTTCAGAAGAGCTCCTTTCCCTAGATTGTCTAAATTTGTTTAATTGGTCATAAACACTGGTATATTTATCCATGTGTAAATATTCTGGAAATTCCACAAAATCTTTTCTTTTTAATGGTCTATCTTTAGAATATTGAGTTCTTACTAAGTGTAGACACAAACATGAAGGTAGCTAAAATATTTGTTAATTGTAATTACTTATTTTTTTATACAACTGTTTAATTAGTTAAATAAAAAAAAAAGATTACTTTTCCAAATTTGACACTTTTTATGTATGATTTACCATCAGTTTTGGTATTATTTTTATCACAGTTTGTACATGGTAAATTTTCTAGCTTTTCTTTTTTGATATACTGTTCTAAAATATCTGTTAATTCAATTTTCAGTTGAGGATATTCGGGTAAATTCAATGATATAACATAAAATTTTTCATAATTTAAGGATAACTAAAAAAAATTAAAAAATAAATAAAATTAGTTAAATTACTACAGATAAATCATAAATATAAGATTGATTCAATAATCTTTAAATTAATAACATCTGACTTCTTTAAATTGAAAATAAAAATAAATTATATACAAATGAGCACAAAATAAATTATGTTAAATTAATAGCTATTTTTAAAGTGTTGTTATAAGTTGAAACAATATATAAAATTGATTATATGATTAAGATAATGGCAGTCACTATTTATTTTTTGCTTTTTATCCCATGAGTAACAGCACATTTGCATTATTTAAAACTAATTTTATTTACTTAGCTATGATATTAGAGAAATTAACCAATTAGATATTATAAAATTTAAAGGTTTTAACTGATATTTCAATTTTAAGATAAATTATGGGTATTTAAAAATTATGATACATTAAATAGTTACAATTTACTTTAAAATTAAAATTAAAGCATAAATGATTATCAGATAATATTTTTTTCTTTGTTTAATAATAAATCAATTTATTCTAATATTTAAGTTAGTAACACAACATTTGTCATGATTAACTAAAATTTGGTAAATTACTAAAGTCATAGAGAAGGAAAGTATAATTAATTAAAATCTTCTTAAAGGAAAAATTGTTAATTTTGTATTAAATTTTTATTGAAAAAATAATTATTCTTAAGAGTAGAAATTTTAGCTAGCAAACAACTAAATATTTTATTAATCAAATAAAAACATACTTTGTGTTGACATAAAGAACATTCTATATTATTTGACAAGTAACCCAAAAATGGAGCTGGTTTAATGTTTTGATTTTTGTCCAATGATTTTCTGTCACTTTGTAAAACTATGTTTCTATTAAACAATTGTTTAAAATTAATTGATTGAATTCAATAAAATATACTAATAACAATAATTATAATAACATTAATGACTGTATTACCCAGATATATTAAGAATATTATTAGATATTCCAGCTGTATTTTCTAATAAATTTCCTTCAGCTTTAGATGGATTGTATACATTAATGCCGACATTATTTACAATTTTCATTGGATTTTGTATATTTCCTTTTTCTATTAAATTTCCATTAGTTTCTAAACAATCAGCTAACTAAAAATTGTATTATATCATAAGATATTGTTAAACAAAAATGAAACTTTTAATTAAAAAGTTAACTTACACTACAATTTGTTTTATATGCTTCATCTTCAATCACAGAAAATAAATGAATGAATAATTCATGAACATCAGCTTGAAGGTTTGGTTTGAAATGAAATCCAACTTTAGTTAATATAGTGACTAATTCTATTGGAGAAAGTATACCATCATCATTGAACTTAGCACCTGTTAAAACTTTAATAAAAAAAAAAAAAAATACTGATTATTTAAGGTAAATAATGTAAACACAGAAAGTGCTTATGATGGATGAAACTAATCAGGTTCATCAAAGTAGTTGTAAAGTACATTAATACCGGTTCATAAAGATATGTTGTGTAAAATACAATTATATATTTTAACATAATTAAGGACACTATATTCAATAACATAATTTTAATTTAATACAATTGGGTAGTTAGATATTATATATAAAAGTATTTATTCAATACAACTATAATAAATTAAACGTAAAACAAAAATTTAGAATATATTTATTCTATATTAAGGCAACATATTTCTATAAACTTGACATAACAAATAAATCTAATATAAATGTTTTGTTCGCAACAACCTTACATTTAAGTGTTTTATTTAATGTGAAGGACACATTTGAAGACTTAGGTTGTTGATTTAACCACTCGACAAACATAGGACATGAAGCAAGTGACTGTAATAAAGTATTTAAATAGCAAGTAGATCCTAAATTTTGTAATCCACAAAAACCACCTGTAAACAAAAATTATTAATTTTATAGAATTATATGTTATTTTAAGTTAAAATAACATGATCCTTGTATTTCACTGAATCTGAAATGTTTGAAAAAACTGTGGATGTTTTTTTATATTGAAGTATTAATAATAAAACTGAAAAAATTAATTTTTTCAATTATTGAAGATTGTAACTCTCAATTTAATAGAATATATTAAACATTTATAATAAGAAAATTTTTAAAAATTATTTTGTGATGTTTCTAATTAATAAGTGAAAGTAAAAAGTCTACTGAAAAGAGTTAAGTAGCAGGGTAAATAATATGTGATTTAACTATATCTTAAAAGTAAGAACAATGGTTAAATTTATCTTCATTAAACTCAGTGCAAAAAAAAATAGTTATATTATTAAATTTTTTTTTTTTTTTTTTTTAATCGGTTAAAATTGTTATTTTAAGATATCTTTAATTTTTGAAAAAAGCTGCATTTATTCCTATACTTAAAAAAAAAAACTGGATTATAAATATAAAAATATTAACTTTAATGTGAATTTTACCAAATACATATTGATAAAATTAAGTTTATGTGTAATATAAAACAAAGAAAATAAATTAAGTTTAATACTTAAACGGACTCGCTGCCATTCACTTAGTGTCAGAATTTAAGTACTTCTATGGATACTGGCGGCTACACATTGCTATTATCTTTACACTGTATAACTGGGTTGCCATAATCATATTTATTTGTAAATATGAATATTTTCCGTGGCATTGGACTAAAAATGAATATTTTTTTGATGATAGGGAAGAGGAAGTTATAGAACCAAAGGATAAATTAGTATCTTTATACGGATTATATTATATACACTTCAAAATGTATCAAATATTATTATAGGTAGAATAATAATAAATTTTATTTACATCATTTTAAAAAGACAAAAAATATAGAATATCACTCTATTGGACCACCAAATCATGTGACCACCAGGAGTTGCATGACATTCAACACATTAAAGTGATATCTTTATTAAAATTGAAATCAAAAAGAAACTAAATGATAAACATTTGCATAACTAAAAAATTTAAAAATTAATTTTATGAAAACTTCATTAACATTATATGAAAGAAGATAATTTATTTTAGTTTTTTGTATGATCTTTATTGTTATTTAACCATTTGTATTTAGTATTTGGTAAATTTTTTTTCTATATTTATAATAACTACAATGATAAATGACTAAATTTTTTGGCTTATTTTCATACAATTTATAATTAAGTACATCCAGTTTATTGAATATTTAAAGTTACTAACTTTTTCTTGTAGATTTTGGTTTATTTGATGGACCAAATAATACGTAGGCTACTAATGCTAATCCAGCTCCAGTTACACCAATAAAAGCTAAATGGTTTCCATTTATTTTAAACATTGTAAAATTTATAAATTCATATTTGTTTCTGTAAAAAATAAAACATCATTCACTAATAATTATACATTATAAAGAAAACACAACTATTTAAAAAAAATAGTCATGAAGTTGGTTTAACAAAAATTGAAAAATCGAAATGAACTTTGTACAACTACTAGTATTAGTAGTATTACTACGATTTATTCTACCTTATAAATTATAGTTAGCAATCACATGATAATCAGATAACACCCATTTTCCCTTACCTGACAAAATTAACCATATGATGATGTGATAAAAATATAAGAAGAAAAACAGTGTAGGTATTTTATCGACATAATTCATTTTTGTGTTGACTAAACTGATAAGAAATAATTAAGATTTACTATTGAAGTATTCACTATTGATACTTTGGTTATAATAAAAGTTTTTTGTATATACTATATAGTATATAAGAATATAGAATTCTATTTACTATTGTCATTTGTCCACAGTTCAGGCCTTTCAGGATATTACTCCGGCCTCCGGGTATTATATGTATACCTTAGTCTTTATGGTTAGCTAAGATAAGAATGGTTAATTCCTTAATTTTAATAATAAATTAATTAAGAACAAAAGAGTTCGAAATCTAAGAAGTAAAAATGTAAATTAAACATAATAAAATCAGTAGATAAATTAAAAATTTTCAATTAATTGTCCTAGTTTTGGTTTTATGATAAAATTCTAAATTAAGCTGACATCTGTAAAATCACCTTAGGTACGTTATTAAATTTAAATTCTTGTTCCATTTTAGTTAATTACATTTAAATACTTGGGTATTTTCTATTTTTATTGCATCTATTGAACTTTTGTGAGTATAATCATTATTTTCAGTTTTATTTGTACGTAAACCAAATCTGGAACTTAGAAAAATGTATTTTTTAAAATTTTAAATGAAGTATGATAGGCCACTATTAAATAATATCTAACTCTAATTAAATTTTTCAAAAGTTTAAAAGAGGTTTTATTATCCTGAAATTTTCTTTTTGAGTACCTATGTATTTTCAATGAATACTTGATTTTTGAAGAATAGTGCAAAACTAAATTTATAAAATGTATTTAGAACATTTTATTAATATACACAAGATATTAACTATTGTATTTTTAATTTCTAATCAGATCGTGTTACTACATTTTAATAGGTACTACAATTATTAATATTCTTTATAATCATAGTATGTACCATACTATTTATAGTATTAAAATATTCAATTTTTTATTACCGATTTCTCATTATTTAATGCAAACACATTACACTGTTTCATTTTTCATGATATTTTTTATCCTAAACTTATTACTCAAACATTTAATTATGTCTATTATTTTTTAATTAGAATATTTAAATCATACATTCTTATATCGGTTTTGAACAAAGGTAATTATTATCAATGAACTCATTTAATGTATATTTTTTTTTGTCTTATTAAGTTGGGTTTTTTTTTTTACTCATTTAATTTAAAAATTGTTTTTATTTAATAGGTTAAGCAAAATTATAGTCCAAGACATTTGAAAGTTTTTTACAATGGCTAATAGATATTGCTCATTAGTAGTAAATTCTACTAAAACAAGATTTATGTCCACTTCAAATTTAAAAAATATAAGAACTAAATCAAAAAAAGAGATACCTATTGTTAAGGGTTTACCAGTAGTTGGAACAATGTTTTCAATATTAGCTGCTGGTGGTGGTCGTAAATTACATGAGTATATTGATAAACGTCACCAACAATATGGCTCAGTATTTAGAGAAAAACTTGGTCCTGTTGATGCATTTTGGATTAGTAACCCATTGGATATGAAATTATTATTTGCACAAGAAGGAAAATTTCCCAAACATATATTACCTGAAGCATGGTTACTTTACAATGACACATATGGTCAACAACGTGGACTGTATTTCATGTAAATTATACTATTATTAATTCCATATTACAACTTTTATAATTATTAAATATTATTTATGAAAATTCTCAACTTTGACAATATTAAATTAATATAATTTTATGAACAGATATTACTTATAAATAAAAATATGTTTCCTAATATTTCTTATCTTAACCTCATATTCATTTTAATGTTATATTTTATTTGTTTTTAGGGATGGAAAAGAATGGTGGAAATATAGACAAATATTTAATAAAATTATGTTAAAAGATTTGAATGTAAATTTTATCAAATCTTATAAAATTGTAATTAATGATTTCTTAAATGAATGGGAATTAAGTGATGGACAAGTGCTTCCCCATCTTACAGCAGATTTATATAAACTTTCTATATCATGTAAGCTTTTAGTGTTAGCTTTAAAATAATAAAATATAAAAGTTACATTTTTGTTTTTATTGGATAAATATAACAAAACAACAATTAAAATAACATTGATAACTGATCATTTTATATATTTCAGAATGAATTATAAAACTTAAATCATGTTATTTTACTGATTAAAATTTGGTATAAATGGAATTTCTTTTAAAGTATTCAATATTTACATTATAACACACTACATAACTAGTTACTTTCTATATTATTTAAATAGATACCTTTTTAATTGCACTGAGCAGTTCAGTATTACTATTTTTTATTCTTTGTATATTTAATGCTTATTATTGATAGATAAGAATATATACACTACAAAGCAAATAATTGAATAAAAATAAGTTATTATTATTTTTCTTTAAACTTTTCAAATATTTTTTTGTATTTGGTATTCAAAGATACAGAATTTATACATATATATTTTGTATTTTTATGAAGTACACCATATTTTATGTTAATTGTTATTTAAATAATTATTTATTTTTAATAGTTGATAATGTTTACAAATTATTAAGTAAATTAGTTGAATGGTTTTCAGTTATGGTGGCACATTTGGTTGGAGGAGCTTATGATAATTATAAAAATGACATATCAAATGATATAAACTGTTTAGCTCAATGTATACAAAAAGTATTTCAGTGTACTGTCAAATTTACAGTTATTCCTGCTAACATTTCTAAATTATTAAAACTAAAAATTTGGAATGATTTTGTGCTAGCTGTTGATAATTCTATTGAAAGTGGTAAGATTTTATCAACTTAACTAAACATTTTTTTAGAGTGAAACTTGCTTAAAATATATTACATAAAGATCTGTACATAATATAAAAAAAACCTAAAAAAAATTATAATTAAAAAGATTTTACTTCTTAAAACTTATATATATTTATGTATAAACATTTAATTATACAAATGGAGTGTTATAAAAAAAACTACTATAATTAAATAAATACTAGTATATAACTTTTGATACATTCATTACTAATATATATTTATTTTTTTATAGCAAATAATTTGGTGTCAAAATTAATGAGCTTTAATGGTGATGGTTTATTAAATTCTTTACTAAATGTTCATAATATACCTAACAATATGATTAAGAGGCTAATAGTCGATTTTATAATTACTGCTGGTGATACTGTAAGAATTTAAAAAAAGTTATTTAATTTTTAATTATTTATATATTTATAAATTGCTTAATTATTATTAATGTATAAGTATGAATAATTTGCTAATATAAAATTGTAATTGTGTATTTTAAAGACTGCTTATTCAACTCAATGGTCTTTGTATACTCTAGGGCTTCATAAGAGTATACAAAGTAATTTAAGACATAGCTTATTAGAAACAGATTTCTTGGATTGTGATTATTTGAATAATATTTTAAAAGAAGTTCTAAGAATGTATCCATTGGCACCTTTTCTTGCAAGAATTTCTCCAAATGATATATATTTAACAGATCACATAATACCTGCAAATGTATGTTTATGTATAAATCCTTTTATTTTATGAATTTATTGAAATAATTTTAATTTTACTATTGATTATAGAGTTTAGTTGTTATGTCAATGTTCACAAGTGGTAGAAATGAAAAATATTTCAATAATCCTGATGAATTTAGACCAGATCGCTGGAATCGTCTAAAAAGTAATAAATATAATGGTGTTAATGAGCCATTTGCAACCCTTCCTTATGGATTTGGTGCAAGATCATGCATTGGACAAAAAATGGCACATGTCCAAATGTGTTTGACAATAGCAGAGGTATAACAAAACTGAAAACTATAAAAGCTTACTAAACATTTTAAAAGAATGCTCATCTGATCTACAAACGTTTTAAAAAAAATTTGTAGTCAGACTTTTAAAAACAACATTAGTATTATATAATTAATAGGTCATTTAAGTTATAAATTAAATAACAGAAATAAGATATAACAAAATTAATTGAAATAACTTATACAATTAACATTATAATTAGGTAAACAGAGAATATATTAATATATATATATTTTTTTTTAATATTTCTATATCAAAGTTTTAATATATTAATATGAGATATAAAAATTGGACAACATATGAAAAAACTATATATTGTTATTGGCTATCGACATCGTACTAATTAAAAGAGAATTTTTGCAAAATTAGTCAGATTTATTGTTAGGTAAAACAATCCTTTAAACTTAGTACAACCAAAAACACAAATGTTTAGTCGTTCTAATAAATAAATGGAGTAGGTATATCAATAGTTTCTTCAATTAACCCATTAATTAAACAACAGCTGGAGATATTATGGCATTAGGATAACAGCTTAACAGTGAAAAATTGCAGATAGGACTTTAATCATAGGATGGATGAGCAATATTGATGTAGTAACTAGCAAAACTCAAAAAATGGTTCTGAATTTTTCTAGACATTTAAGAAACTTAATACAATTTTATTCAGATAGTTTTAATAATAGAGTGATTTAGTGAATTAACTTGTTTTTAGATTTAAAGGTAAAAAGATTATCTCTGTTTTCTCAAGTTTTTTATAATTTTGTAACTTTTAAGTAGGTTGTGAGAATTTTAAAATTGTAATATTTTACATATTATGCAAAAACTGCTTAATAATAATTTGATAAGTCGCTCATTTTTAAGACTGAGATGACAATATATGTGACTAATGGCCCATTTGGGCTTAGCACCCTTTTAATAATATTATATATGAAACCAGTACACTTTTTATAGTCAATTAAAATAATTAAAATATTTTAGATTCTGAACGGAGTGATGAATGTATTGATTTTACAATGATGTGTGTTTTTTTTTTTTGTGTCTGTGTCTGCATAAGTATCGAAATAATGCTTCAATTTCAAACTGATTGGTTTCGAATGACAAAGTGAATATCCTGGAATTATAGAGGTAAAAGTAAATTTTCAACAGTTTTCAAAAATCGAGATAAAAAAGCGGAAAACGAGTTTTACGCAAAACAATTTGACCAAATCGATTTTTATATGGTTAATTCAAAACTAATCACTGTAAATATTTGAAATTCACTAAATGTTTATGTTAGTGTTATCTATATACAGTTTAATTTTAAAAATGTTGAATTTTTGGTTATTTATAAACCACTAAGTATCGATTTTTGTGAAATTTTTGAAGTGTCGATAAAAATGTTGGATGATAAAACTTTTGAAAATTTAATACAAGGTTCTATTGAGTTGTTCTTATTGTAGCAAAAATAATTAAAAATCGTTGTCACAATTTTTATAAACGTTTATAGTTCAAATATTTACGAAATCTATCGAAAACGCGAAATTTGTAAGTAATTTTGAGTTGAAAAATCATAAAATTTTGTGTTTTATACTAGGATTAAAATACTACACTGTGTTTTCCCTCAGTTTTCTTCAAGTAGCTATAGTAAAAACTCAAGCATCATTATAGTAAAATTTTAAGTGCGTTTAAATTTAAAATTTTACGAAATAGCGTATCAATAACGATTTTCCTCAAACGATTTTAAATATTTGTTAATATTCAAAAGTATAAGTCGGTAGATACTTGAAAATTTTACCAGTTTAGATTCGCATTTTCTTTACATGATTTCATTTTCAACATATTTTGACTTTTTTTGAGCTATTTATAGATAATACAAAGTTCCTCATAAGTTATTCTTATAGTGATCAAAAAATTTTAAGAATACATAGGCACAATTTTTTTATTAGCATTTGAAGTTCAAATATTGACAAAAATTCGTCAAAATCATGAATATTTGCAAACTATTAAGTAGGTATAATTCATAAAAAATTTTGTATAAGTAGTTAAGAGTTGAACATTTAATACAAGATTTTCCATAAATTTAGCTTACAATAATTATAAAAGAATTAAATTTTCGTGTATTCAAACGATTAAAACATAAACCACGGAAATTTAAATAAATATATATATATAATAATCCTACAGTAAAATAATAAAATGTTTATACCTATATGTATTATACGTGATGATTATTGTGGTTACGAAATGTTTTCATAGATATTCTCTAATATCTATGAATGTTTTAGGTACTACAGGCGGAGTTTGGGGGGGATATTTTCCTTTTAGCATTACTCGCGCTGTTATCCTAGACTGACAAATCATCTCCGTTCAGAATCGTTTTTTGTATACAATGATACCTATCATTGCATTCAAATTTAATCTACCCTAGTCCGAGGTTCACCCCACCCCCTAATGTACAGCAGAGCGGTACCCACTTGCCCGTTTTTATTTTTTAGTAACATAACTTTTTAACAATACATTAAATATTATAAAATTATAATAAGTTAATAGGTAAAACAATAATAAATCACACACATCATAGGAACATACATAAACAACTGTGCAAAAAAGGGGCTTTCTATTTAAATTATTAATATTTTTGTTTATGTTTTTTAAAACATACTGAGAATTTAAAAAGAATCTAAATAGTATTGTTAAATTGTTATGTGAAGATATGTGCAAAGTGACCTACTTTGAGTTGTTTTTCTGTTTAAAACTAGCATTCAAATTTCTAATATAATACATTTTTGAAGTATTGATCAATATTTTACTAAAATAAATTATTGGTATTTTATCCTGAGAAAAATTAAAATTTTTACTTAAAATGTATTATTTAATTTTATTAGAATAGGTCTAGGCAGCATGGACTATTTAGGAATTGTACATATTTTGATAAAATAATTTGAATTTTTATTTTTTTGTGGTAAAATAAATAGGTTACATAGATACATAATGTATATTAAACATTATATGTAATAAGCAATTAAAACAGTTTTAATAAAAATGCATTCTCTACCATTGATTAAAATATTTGAAATGTTTCAAAGTATTTTTATTTAAGTATAGATTTGTTTTAATTCATATAATATAATTTGTATATTTTTTAATATAGTGCATCAAAAGATATAAGATGCAGACAATGAAACCAGTAAAAATTGCATTAGATTTAATTACAGTTCCAGATAATCACATAAGTATAAAAATACAAAAGATATAATTTTTAAAGTTTATAAATTATTCCTTTATAAAATTGAATACAGGGTCATAAAAATATTGTGATATTTTCAATTGGCATCTGTTAAAATGTATAATATTAAGTATAAATATACAGGTAATTTATTCATACCCATTGATAATTTATTTTTAATAGCTTAATATTACTCAATTTATGTAATGGTGTATATACTTATATACATTTTAGTGTATCTTTTATTATTGTTTTTAAAATTATGTTATATTTTAGAACTGTATTTTAAATTGCAATGATTAATAAAGTTATTAGTGATTTAAGATTTTACTTATTTTCTATTTGTTGGTCTTCAGCTGTTGATTTGGATTTTTTTATTATTCAATTTTAATCTGCAAAATTTATGCATTTTTTGTAATTACTATAAACGGTGAGATCTTTCAATAACTATGAAATATCTAATTACATATTATTAGAACAATAAAAAATTTTAATTTTTAAAACGCGCATAATGAATTTTATTTTTATTAGTAGCAATATATATTTTTGATACCTAGGCTCAGTAATGTCTCCAAACACTTAAATGAGAGAAGAGGCAAGAAAAAAAAATGGTTTAATTTCAGTCTTTCTAGATTCCTACTTAGATTTCTAGTTTTAAATTTTATATTATAAAATGTATATTTATTTTTATAAATATATTTTAAGAGGACAACGTAATTAAACACCAAATTTTTTGCTCAGAACAATTCACTGTAATCTTTTCTTTTTAATGTAATAATGAAACAAACTATTATAAAAATTGAAACTCAGGTTTGGCTCTTCAATTTCTAATATTTGTACAGGGATCTAACAAAGTGGCATTCGGGCATTCTTTCTCTGATTCTATACTATATATATGTTTCTGATTCACTTATCTCTCTAAATACACCTGTAGTTAAGGTCTGAGAATACCTAATAAGGAATTTAAACCAATGCACAGAAATCTACATAATGCTTTCTTAAATTTCCAAAATCATCTAAAGCTAATGTTCAACAGGTAATTGGCTGATTGGCTAATGAATGTAACAAAATAAATTCTGTACACACTGCTTTAACTTTCGCCTTGATCCCTGTCCAAGAGCCTCTAAGTAATATCTCAATTCCTTCTTCTCAAATGATAATGGTTTTAAGCTTTACTTGTGCACTTTATTTCAAAATAAAACATCCTAAATGTACCATGTATGTCTCTTAATGATCAATACATAAATATTCAACACACAAAAATATCTAAAAATGAATACTTGTTAAAATATATTATGCACTGATTATATATAATTTATGTATATAAATATTAAATAATATAATGTTTTTTTATTGTTGAATTCAAAGTTTTCTGATACACATGACGTTGTCATGATGATGATGCATTTAATATCGATTTAATCTAAATTTGACAGTAGATTCTAAGCTAATCATTTTAATCATTTATACACATAGGATGACACATAAGACTAAAAGAGTCCAGTGTCCACTGTCTATCTAAATTATTAAACTTAATATATAAAATGCATTATTTACTCAAATAATACAGTAGATAAGTAAGTCCTGTGAAGTTGGTCGCACAATATGAAAATTTTTGCTCCAAATTTCGTCAAAAATTTATAAGTATTTGTAAGCACAAATTGGAAATTTGTAAGTTACCTACTTAATTTACGACAGTTTTTAATTTCTTTCTAAACTTACTATCGTATTCGTATTAAACATAAAACTTAAAAATTCAGAAACTAAAAGTATAGGGAATAATAAGTACCTACCTATATATTATATATTATGTAAGTACATACTGTGAAATTCTAAACATTTCCCCTCATTTTCATATGTTAGAAATTGTATTTTTATCAATAATTGCAGAAGGTAAAATATATACTTGCCAAATAAGAAAAAATATTGTGATATTTTCAACAAAGTAGGATGTACCTAGGTAATAGGTCATTCCATTGCAGCTTGGATTGACGGGGACAGTATATTTAAGGTCACTATATTATGTGATATTTACATATTTTACATATACAATAACTTAGGTGGTCGTACATAATTAATATCTTTATCGGTCACAAGGCTATGCACGAAGGTCCCAAAAGCACTAACCTTATTTATCATGTGTATTATTATACGAAAAATAAAATTAAGTAAGTAAAAACTTTCACACAAAAAGTAATGGAAAATATAAATTGAAGAAAATGGTAAAACTTTAAAGACCAAAAAATAGACACCTTAATTTTTTTTTAATTTTTATATTTATATTATTATAAGCAATAAATTGTTATGTGCAATAAAATTACCTACTATAGATTTAGTAAAATTTACACGTATGCCATTTAGATTTTATTGAATTGGACCCGAGAGAATTTTCCACCGAAAGAATTTACAGATCATTAAAATTGGAGGAGGTTATACAATCGCCCGTATTATTAGTTGCTATATATGATTTAATATAAGTTATAACCTATATATCTAGTAGCTATAGTTCTATAGGTTACAGTTAAAAACCTCTAGGCTTCGATCAAAAGATTGCTAGGAAAGCACTAGTTATATACACATCTTACATACTTTGTAGATTAAATCAAACTTTTAGGATGCAAATAAGTTTTTTACGAATATTAAGAAATCAGCATAAATATTGATTTTCACTTTTTAGGATAGAACTTATTTAATTTTGATAAAACGTTTTTAATTCTAAGGTAGTTAATTGACTATATGCTTAAAACTATTTCAATTTTACAAAAACTATATATAGTGTAAACGATTGTATATTTGTTAGATATCACTAATTTAGACTAGTTAAAATAGTAAATAGATAGTAGACTTTTTGTAGTTAAATACAATAGAGAAGGTAATTTTTTATTTCAATTTAATTTAGTTATGAGAGACTAATGTATACGCTTCGTTACATCATAACTCAGATTGATTGAAATCAAAGATTAAAACGGATTATTCTATTTATTGGCAATGTGTAAGCAGACAGCAGTAATACTCAGTAATAGATATAAGTTCACGAATCCTTTGTGAAATCCAAACGCATTTGTATTAATACAGGTAGGTAATAGTTGTATAATTTTTATTTCGTACAAATTACCTACTTATTTCTATTTTACTATACTGCATATACTGCACACATGGACTATTTTTCGATTGTGTTTACCATCAACATTCATCAATTATTAATGCTATGTTCTTGTTTTCTTAATCTGTTTTCCCGAACTCTCAGTCATTTATCACTAAATTATGACAAAATATTTAAATTAATGTACATATTAGCAAAACCAACTGCGTATTATACATATCTAAGCACGGTTATATACTTATTGAAAATCAGTAAATGACATTACATCTCTAATATGATGTTAGAATAACTATTTTGAACGCATTGTAATTTATTTTAAGATAATTCAATTCTTTTAGAGAATTTACTGTATAAGAAAACAATTTCAAGTGTTGACCTTTTTTAATATAACAAATTTATTCAACTTAATATTATTGACTTCCTTTTTTTCTTTATAACATAGGTTATTTATATTACATACCTACGTGTGTATGGTTACTATCACCTAGACAACAACTTTTAAAAAAGAATAATAAATGTTTAATACAGCCTATAGGCTTATATAATATGTTATACATATATTAACATATCAAAAATGTGTCAATCACCTTTTGATTATAGCCACACGTTGATGTACATTACATTCTTCTTCCCTCGAATTTATTTTTGTTTGTAGGTTATTCGAATCGTGTCGTTTGAACTTAGCATACTTGCATTATTAAATTTAATGACAACCGACATTTAAATAATATATAATTATAAATGATTTTTTTTACAATATTTTAAAAAATTATTTAAAATGGTTTAAGTGTTTAATATATATTACAAGAGGTAACTCAAGCATATTATTCACATAGAATTACACAGTAATTTTTACTTAGCAGTTCACGTATAGATGACAGTAGACACACAAAGTATTGTATGTATTTCCTTGAAAATATCATTCAATATGTAAATGTTTATGTATATCGATTTCAGGAACACATAGGTAGACAATTTTTGAAGATTATATAATGGAATCTGAAAGTATTAAAATTGTAAAATATTTGTTATACATCTTTAATGTGATATACGGGGTAAATCAATGTTTTAAATACTACTAAATAATATGTTTCCTAATATTTATAAAATTTAGAAATTTATATTTATATTTTTAGATTACAGGAGTGGCTTTAATAGTAACTGGCATCATCGTAATTGCAGATTTAGGACGTTTTTCAAATTATTTAAATTTTTCAATTATTGCGCCACCAATATTGTTTATTATATTAGGTATATGCGTAATAGTATCGAGTATATTTGGATTTTATTGTATTAACAAAGAAAATTTCAATTTATCAATAGTGGTGGGTATTTAGACAATCATTACAGTACATATACTAATTAAAAATAAATAATAATTAAATATTTTATTTGTTTATAGTTTACATTAATTTTACTAACGGTTCTGGTAATCGAAGTATTATTATCTATTATGTCATCAGTATCCAAAGAAAATTTTAATAATGATTTAAGATTTTCTCTAAAAACGTCTATGGGAAAATATTCGTTTGAAGAAACTCATCGGAATTCGTGGTCTACGATTCAACGAAAAGTATGTTCATATATTTTAAATAGTAATGTTTTAAATATAATCTGAACCTTTAAATTTTTATTCAAACATGAAAAGAAATTCAATACTTTATTTAATTTATATGTATTATTGTTTTTATTTATTTTACATACCTAACTAAATTTTATAAGATTAATTTAAAATTAAGTAACATTTCAAAATAAATATTAAACTGAACTGAATTGAATTATATATAGCTATAGATAACCTAATAAATTGAACTGAATAGGTGATACATTTTAAAAATATGTAATTTTAGTTTCTTGTGATTTAATATAGCTAGAATGTTGTGGAGTTGATACACCTAGAGATTGGTCAATTATATTTCCAGAAAATCTAGTTCCTGTTTCATGTTGTCAAAATTTACCAGTTGAATTAGGTGCATTATGCAGGAATTTATTTGATGAAAGAATAATTTATCAAAAAGGATGTTATAACGGATTAAATAATCGAGTGAGATCTAGATTAACCATTATAATGTATATTGCCTTAGCATTTGGTCTTTTCCAGGTAATTGAAATATTTTTAATACTATAATTTAAATTCAATTATGAATAAATCATCATCATGATTTACTTAAACTATAAAATATATTCTTTAACTTTTATGGATTCAGTATGAAAAACTTAAAAGGAATATTGTAATATATTTTCAAATAGCAACAAAATAGTTTGCAATTTTTTATGGATTATAACTTAAAATTCATATAAAAAAATATTGCACCTATAAATTTTTAATATTTTTATATACCTAGATATAAGAAAATCTTATGTGAAATCGAATATCACATTTTTAAGAATTTTGACCGAGAAAATAACTTTTTTCTGAAATTTAAAAAAAAAAACTTTAAAAATTGGTATACTTGTAAACAGTTCAAAAAGAGTTTAAATTACAACGTATCATATACTACAACACAATTATAGTTTATAGCCTTATATGTACTTAGGTATTTATGAATTTTATATTTTTTAGGTGGTTGGGATTGTGTTAGCTTGTTTTTATACGTATTTATTGAAAAACGGTCAAGGAAGCAAGTAAGATAATTATAGTTTTTTTTTTAAATGAGAAGTTGTAAAATTGCTGTACATATACTCATCATACAACTTGTACATAAAACAAGTAGGTTGGTGCTACATAAAATATTTATTATAAATTTAAGGTATAATAATGTGTATTTTTTGAGTAGGTATCTATCAACTTTATAATTTTATATTGTTATAATTAATAATAAGTAATTATTAAGTAGTTATGTATCAATGTATCATTGAATAATTTAGTTCTAATAGATAATATATTAGTTCTAATTTTAAATATATCATAAAATTTTTTATCATTTATCATATTTTCTCATTCAACAAGCTTAAAAATCAAATTAGATTAGATTATATTTTTTATGACCAAACTTTTATTTTATTTATATTTTTATTTTAGAAATTCACACAATTTTATTCAAAACAGATGACATCAAGATGATGTAGGATTTGATACAAATTATTTAAACAAATCCTACAACCAAAATACATATTCACGTGACATGTTAAGTCGTAAAGATCAATTAAGCAATTTATTAGATGCATTAAGAAAACAAAGAAAAAAAATGAATTTTTAAAGGTGTTTACGTCTTATTTCTTTTTCATAATCCTTATAAATGTATAAAATATTATCTTCTAATTTGTACTATTTATTTAAATTTCGATTCCTCATACGTAGGTTAAAATTATTTTTCATTTTTGTTAAATGTACATTATTTTATAAATAAATCTATAATAATAGTTTTATTAATGAAGTATAAATAAGTGGAATACTTATTTGATAAAATAAAAATATAGGATTGATTTGATTTTTATAATACATTAGTGCATTAATATACTATATTTATAAAATGTGAAGACGAATCTATACTCGAAAATACTTTTTTCAATCAAAATATTATGTTTATGTACACAAAATATAATATACAGAATAGTTCATAGTAATGTTTCCATTTTTTAGTAGTTAAATACAGAAAAAAACGGGAACTAACAGTGTATTTGCCCGTATAATGTTTATATAATATAATAATATATGCTTGTTCATTAAAAAAATATTAACATTTATAATGATAATTGTTATTATAACACCAACATGGTAACTTGTGGTATTATCATATAGCTGTTGCCTGTTGATATACAGGTGGACGAATTTCACTCATTCATTTACATAATTTATAAAAACTGTTATATGTCGTAAGTCATTAAACTACAATGCATGTACCTACTCTCATAGCATTTATGACAGTTCCTCAAAATTTCTAGGTTCCATCTCAAAATATATAACGCCTTCTTACATTATTGACGGATTATTTAGGCAAATTATCGTTGAAAATTTAAAATCAAATACTTTGGTTTTCACAAAAAGATCGGTCGCGCAATTAAGAACGAGTTACACATATTTTCTGCAAACTAAGGATACAGTCTGTCTTCAACTTATATTCATTCATCTCTTCCTTTACGACTGAATACTTAGCTTTTTTAGAAGCTTTCATCTGCATTAATTTTCTCTTTCCCGGTAATTTTCTTATTGTCTCTGATTTTCGAGCCAGTCTCTTAGCAATTGCCAATAATTCCTTCCTTCTTAAGTGCATTACCGTTATCTTAAGAGTTTGAATTTCTCTGTTGTCCCTCAAAATCAGGTCTTCCACCATCTCCTTCTTATGAATTTCCAAACACATAGGTATTAATAGCAATGAGTATCCAACAACTCTCACTCGGGTCCTCAGTTGTGCGCTTATATCGACTTAATCCTCCTAAACCATAAATTTATCCAGAAATTGTGAAATCTAAAAAAGAGAAAACCTCTCAAAGTCCTATGATTCTAGATATAAAGCAATATTTAAAATAATCCCCACTTAACCATGGTTTTAATCACTAAAAATTAGTCATGCGTTATTATAGTCAATTACATCAAATTAGACACTGGACACAACCTCTTACCATACCACTCATTTGAATTGGGACAATGATATGTATTGCATCCTACTCAAAGAGGTGGGGCTTTTTGCGATTTTCAACGTTTACTACTTAATTGTCCATCACTTTCTCAGTAAACAAATCAATTAAAGACTTTTTTTTTTAAACTTCTGGTATCAATAAATTCTCCTTCATGACTGTTTTTATATCAATATTCATTATTTATCAATATAATTACTATCAAAAGTATACTTAAATTTATACTATAAAAAGTTTTAACATTTTAGTGGTAAGTTGTTGACTAATGTATTATTCTGTATGTGTCAATATATAATGTTATGTACGATAAGTATCATGATATATAATTAAAAGTTAAAAACTAAACTAGAAAAATATTTTACATTTTTAAACAATCTGGATTTTTAAGCTTTAAGCAATTACAAGTCACGACGTATGGAAAAAGGAGAGCTATTAAGCTGTAATTATACAAGTAGTATAATTCCCTGATTATCGCTAATGGCATATTATTATTCTTATTATTTAATACATAGTGTCATTTATATTAAATTTACTTAGCACTTATTATCCTGTCACTGTTTATTTCTTTTTTGTTTGAATTATCTGCATTTTTGAGTATTTTTATATTTATTCACTATTGGTTATCGTTTAGAACGGTTTATAATAAATTATATTTTTTACTTTATGAAAAAGCCTCTACAATTTTCTATGACTTTGAACTAGTTTATTTTAAATACTAGACACGATCGTTTTGTAGAACTTGATACCCTTTCATTCGATGTCATCTATAATAAAAGCCTAAGTAGAGTTTTAATTATTATATTATGTTATGGTATATTGCCTATATTGGTATCTGTAATAAACGCTAGTAAGCACCAATTTTGCATACCCGATGCGCCGTATTACATTTTTAATTTATATTAATTGTTAGTTATTTTTTAAGTACTAAACTACTATTTCATTTTTATAAAATCTTATACCTATACTTTTACGAGTTACTGTTAATTAAATAATTATTATCTCCCCAAAAAAATGTATGAGTGTTCTGAGTCAGGGGATTATCATAATTAAATATATTATATAACTGTCATAAATGACGTTTAAGCAATAATACAACATTGGAGAGTATTTTATTATAAGAATAGAAAGTTATAAATAAATAATACTTAAGTATATTATTCATGATTATAAGTTTTAAAATGTAATATACCTATTGAAAATAAATAAGAATTACACGAAATAAAAGTTTAAAAATCTATAGCCATATTAGGTATATACTAGGTAGATACATTTATCATTTATGTTATAATACCAAGATTTCTATACACACACATGTAAAATAAATAAATTTAACATTTAAATCAAATAAAATCGTTTAAATTGTGGAATGATATTTCTCGCCTCTCGAAGTATGTTTTTTTATGTTTGTAATACGCCACATTTTACTGTTATAGTGTTATGGCATAATTCCTAATAGTTATAAATTATAATTTACTACTACCTCCCGCAGAGCCGCCGACAGTCCAGTCCAAAGCAACGTATTATGTTGTGCGTAAGTAGTAAGTGGTATGTATCGGTCCTAATAAAGTACGGTATATTCAAACTTGTCCAATCGATCCGTTCTTAATGACCATAATATACGCACTCGATAACAACAAACGATTATTATTATATCATCATAATGCTTGTTATAACTTATTATACACGTATAAAAATGTCAAATGTCGTGATACGTTAAAACGGAACATGTATTGGATTATTAATGCAAACTTATTGATTATAAATTATAAACAATCAAATAAGCACCAGCAGAATCAAAAGGGATAAACCGTGAGGCACAATAATCGACGGTCCCACGCGAAGTTGGAATCTCGCCTATTTAATACCTTTGACACGATGTCGGTACACATGTATAGAAAACGTACGAAGAAAATGGGTTATGATCATAATTTAATAATTTATTTTATTATTATAACATATTGACGATAAAAATCGATAATAATATCACATATTTTTTCAACTTTTTACTCGCTATCACACTTGCTTATTACCACTTGTAGTAAATCGTCGGTTTTAAAAAAAAACTTTTAATACTTATCCGGGATAAATGACAGTTGTTCAATCAGGATTTCATTAAAAACTAAGGTTTTATTCTACTCGAATTTATAACTGTGGTAAAAATTAAACTGACTATTTAATAGATTTTATTGAACGACGAATGCATTGATTTTATAATTATGTAGGTTTTTTTTTGTTTACCATCAGCTCCTGGAGCAGTAAAAATGTTCTAATTTTTTACTATTTAAATGGTTTATAGAAATAAATTAGATTTAGTTGGTACTTAAAAAAGCACATTTTTAGCACTTTTTAAAATAACCTGGAAAAGCAAAAAAAATTAAATGTATAAGGAAAAATTGAATTTTTATGTAGAATCAGTAGAGATAGGTACTTAATAAAATCGATTTTGATGTTTTGGTGTGATTTACAAACAAATGATTTTCCATACTCGAAATTTTCATTAATTGTTCATATTAGCATTTTTAATAGATAATACAATAAAAAAATTAATTTAAATGTATTTTTGACATAAAAACAACAGAAATGATTATCTCGTATTTAAATATATTTACTCATCTGTCTGACCAATATTTTAACATTGTTATTCTTTACGTCCAAACGTATACAGAATCACGATCATAATAATTATAAAGTATTTAAGAATTATAATTTAATTAATATAATTAATAAACTATGTCTCACACTGGTTCATTGCAAAGAATTTTACCTCGATGCTTAGTATTACGATGTCTGGAGGCGAGACTTATATATAGGCACTGTCTCGCAAGATGATTTTAATCGAACCAAAAAGTCGGACTAACGTCAATGTAATTGTTAATTACTTCGCTTGTCTAGTGAAAAGAAGTAAAAGGTCGATGCCAATCATCGCATTTATGATGCTTAAATCTGAGATAAATATACCGTGCTCTCCAATGATTTCAACCTAAACCTAAGTAAAACGATTGTCCGAACTGGAGGATATGAAAAATTGTGGTTTTACCGGCCCATTAAAGGCTATTCAATACATTCGCCATCATTTGAGGTGTATCGTGGACGTCTATCGTCGATCTTTATTATACCCATTGTCTTTAAATTTGAAGTCAACAGACTGCATTCGAAAAAAAAAACGTAAACGATTAGAGCTACAAATATAGCTCAAGATTTGATTTAATTCGGACGTACTTGCACAGTGAAGATTGATCCATTGTTTTGTTTAGTATTTTTAAACAGTAACATTACCTACATCAGGTAAATCGCCAGTGTTTTATTATTCTAATGTCCAGAGGTTCTTTAACCTAATTATAGACGTCAAAATGTCTGATCATTATATTAATTATATAGTTGATTATCCCAGGAAATACATTTATGTCACTGTAAATTCAACATCATTACTTACTTTGAAATATCGAACTAACTATTATTATTTCATAATCAAACAATATATAACATGATATTACGTAAAATTGCCTATTTTGGGAATAACTATTTCATATATATAAATATATTATATAATTACTAATTGTGTCCTTGCATTTCGTTGCTCATACAGAATTCGCCAGTGTTAAATTTGGTTATTTAATACCAGTTGATCATAAATAAAATTAATAATTATATTTGTAATCAATGCTAATGTTAACATAAAGTGTAATGCATATAAATAAACAATATTTTTGGTTTTATATTTTGGCATATAGATGATATTTTCGGCCTATCTACATATATATTCAATTAAATACTAATATCTAATTAACATAAATAAATGTTTTTTCACTCGTGTTACCATGATAGATAACATATAAATTAACAAAAAAAGTACAAACGCATGTTTTTTTAAATTATACCACTTAAAAATAAATACAGTAAAAATAAATTTATTTATCAAATATTCAAAAATGTACCATCTGGTTCTTTTTTTTCGCAATAAAATTTGATCTGAAAATAACGTCAGTCAAATTATTGGACCTTATTTTTTCTTAAGCTTCAATTCCAACGTGTCTATGTCAGAGATGTGTGGTTTCAACAAGATTGGGCAACATCACACACAGCTCATGCATCGATGGAAGTTCCTTCTTAAAAAAATTCCTGAATGTCTCATTTCGCGCTTTGAAGACATTCCATGGCCCCCTCACTTCCCTGACTTGATAACACGTGATTAATTCTAGTAGGGACATTTAAAGTCAAAAGTTTATCAATACAAGCCATGAATCTTTGGTGGATTAAAGGACGAGACCAAACGAGTTGGAAGAGAAGATCCGGGACAGATGCTGACTGACGCGATGATCTCATTTCGAGAGTGTCTGGATTCCTGCATTGCAGCTCAATAGCAACATATGACTGACGTTATTTACAAAACCAAAATTTCTTTTTACTGCAATTAATTTTCGCGTAGGTAGCGAATTCTTCAGAAGAACTTATTTATCATAAGCTGAATTACCCGGCGTTTACCTGAAAAAAATCGGTGAGCAATTTCTTCTATACATAACTCAATACAAAGCCCTTTTAAGTGTAAATGTCTTACATTAAGTTACTTTTATAGAGCGAAATTTAAAAACCACATTTTTCATGCATTAACATATTCTTGTGAGAGTCCCTTCTGAAAAAACAAATTTTAACTAAAAAGTTATATCTATGTTTCCCACAACTATATAAATACTATAGACGCTATAATTTGTCTTCCATGTAGCAAACATAATTTTATTTCTCTACAAATTAATTAAAACTATCTCAGATGCCTTCGTCTATATTAATTACGAAGTTCAAATATATTACATCAATTTGTTTCGGTAAAAGTCATCAATGATCACTTGTCAAATAATTAAAGCAAAATATCATGTTAATTGGCCGAAATTAAATCAACGAAGTTTATTAATTCTTTTTATGGACTTAAATAAAAATGTTTACCTAATACAGGTACTGTATAGAATTATTTTTTAACAACTAGAAATAAATCAATTATTGTTTTAATTTAATTGGGACGATTTTGAAACATAAGTTTAAGTATATTATGACAAAGTAAATAATTTAATATGTTAATTATCAAAATTAACTGATTTTTGGTGAGAATACTTGACAAAACTCAAATACTAAAATACTAAATAATTAAACGTTATAATATATTTTTGTCAATAAATATATTAAAATGGTATAATACTGACAAATACTAAATGAATAATCCTTAGTTAAAAGATATGTATCCAAAACTATTATACGCTAAAAAAAAAATATATTAATTAATTAATAAACAATTATTATTAACAAGTGTTACAAGATTTTTATAATTCATATTCTCATAATATTATAATAATAATAATAGTAATAAAAAAATCATTATAACATCTAATCTATTAAGTCCTGTTCCGATAACCATACACAGTAAACTATACCGTTCTTTACACAGTAAGAATATAAATTATGATAAAAGATGAGTCGCTTTTTTTTTTTTTTTTGCTGAAAATACTTTTTACAATATTAATTACAAAATTAAAAACATAGCTTTTAGAATCATTTACATAATATATTAGAAACATTGTATTTGTAATAATTGATTAAATAAATATAAAAAAATAATCATAATTTTATTATCAATACTTAATTATTACAATAACCTTAAGACCAAAAATAAATGTTTACTCAAGGGTGAAGTACATAAACAAAGTAAAAAAAATCAGTCATTTTACTTTTTTGAGTTGGTTCAAATTTGTTTTGAACATCTTATGTCATTTGTTAGCTGGGCAAGATTAACCATAAATGTTGGTAATTCCTACAACAATAAAATTAATATATTAAATATATTTTAATGATTATATTAATATAACAATAACTACCTTGACTGGCTGCATGCGTTTTTGCCTTAAAAATTGTCGCTGATCATTACGTATATTATCTGTTTGTTTCAAATAATCAGGTAAAAATTTAGAAAAAAAATAATCAAAGTCCACACTGGCCATATTGTAAATAGCCAATGATATTTCATCAGATAGTATTGTGTGGCTTTTATTAACCATAACATTCAATAATACAGTCATATATTTGCTGAGAAAATAATGTTTGAAATATTCCTAAAGAAAAAAATCAAATTAAATAATTATAATTATCTTCAATTATAAATTACTTTTTTATTTAAATTAATACCTTTGCATATAAATTCCATTGCATGTGTAATTCTTCAATGGCTTTTAGGTTTTGTGAAAAAATACTTATATCATTTGTCATAAACGAGTATCCTATTACTTCCAATATTGTAGTAAACTGTTCAGAATTATCAATGTTATTATCGTTAGTAGAATGCAGCACAGAGAAAGATGTAGAAGCAGGAAAAAAATATCTCCATTTAAACATTAAAACACTAAAAAAAAAAAAAAAAATAATAATATTTGTACCTTAATAATATTTGGTAATATAATTATAATTTTACCAATAGAGCAAATTATAAAGTGCGGAGACTGTTGGTGGATAGCAGTTAGAAGCTACCAAAGGAATTAATTTCTCTAATGCTAATTTAATTACTACAGATGTAAATTCTTTATTTGATTTAGAAGAATGTTTAATAATTAATGATAAAACTTCAAGCATTTTGATTGTCAACATTGTACTAGCTGACCATATCCTATATATAAAAAAATAAAAAAATAAAAAAATAATAATCATATTTTTACAAACGTATCTACTTGTAAAAATTATACTTACATATCCAAGTCAACAAAAGTTTGCATAAGAATTTGTACAAATTGAGGTGACATAGTATCATGCAACAGTTCATACATTTCTGATAAAAATGTAATCACTCGTTCGCATTTTTCCATTTGTTGATTCAGAGAAGACTCTGATTGCATATCATTTTTTAACTGAGTAATTGCTTCAACCAAACATGGCTATAGAAGTTAAATTTAAAAAATAACCATTAATAAAATATTAAAGAAATATGATTAATGTAGTTACTTCAACAGCCCGATAAATAATCCTTCTGGTAGATATTTTGTAAGGTCCACTGCTGACAAGAACATCAGTTAACATTTTTAAATCGTTTAATCCAGATGGTGCTAATGACTTTAAATAATTCATAAGAACCAATACTTTTATTTCTTCTTCTTGACTTGGACAAGTCAAAAGAAATTTTAAAGATGTTACCCTTACTGACAAACGAGTCTAAAAGTATAAAAGTTGTAAGCAATTAAGTAAATAAATATTTTTGTACAAATTTTACCTTTTTATTTAAATGATTAAGTGTAATAGAACCATCTAAAAATGGTGATAATAATTGTTCTAGCAATGATGTGTACTCGCTTATATGAACAAGCATTGGTTCAGTAACTGTTGGTAATAGAATTCCACAAGCATCATGAATCTGAGTGGGTTGACTCGTGTCTTGTAAAGATGTAACTAAAACGGAAAAAAGTTTTTCTCGATTCTGTTCCATACAAAATTGTTTGTTGTTGTTTAATAAATGCATCCACCTTGATAAAGCCGTAAGTATTTCGCTCTGACTAATATAAAAAAATAATATTAATAATATAGTTTCTTTCTTATTAATTAAAATTTTTTTAATAAAATAAAAATTTAAATATTTTACATTTGAATTAGAGTTTTTGTGGTTGATTGTGATACAGGTAATTGGTAAAGTGGAGTTGTAGCAACACCTTGAATTGCAATATCATTGAGCATTTTTGTAATCGCAATTTTCATAGAATCTTCATAATAGCCACTCAGGCTTGTTAAAGTCCTAGTAGATGGAACTAAAAACATGCACTTAGAATCTTTAAAGTTTTCCAGTAACATGGGCGAATTTAGTATTGTTATGTAATCATTTATATAGACTTTCCAATTATCGACCTAAAACCATTATTATTAATTTAATGAAATATACATTGATGCTTAAATTAGAAAAATTATACAATTCTTATATTATATTTACCACAGGCACAGCAATGACTGGATAAAGATGTGCCACATTTGATATGATTTCAATATTTTTATTTAAAAATATTTGACATTCAGTTTGTCCCTGAAAACATTTAAATAAAAAAAAAACAATAAAAATTACAATTTTATAATAAGTATTTTTTTTTTTTAATAAGTTGTAAACAATATACAATATCATTATGTTAAAGGAATAAGTATTAAATTAAAAAATTTGTATAATTTTATTTTCATATTATATTTTACATTTCAATTAATAAATATTCTTATCTAAAGTAAATAAGTTCCTTAATCCATAAAAACGTGTGTTGTCATATGGCAATGTAAATAGATATTTTTAAAAGTTAAATTTGAAAAAAAACTTTGGGGCTAATGAGTTAAGCGTACAAAGATAAACTTTAAAGAAAATACCACAAGAATAAAACCAATAATTAGTGTCATTAATAATTAAATTTTAGGCAATCAAATTAAATCATATTAATTAAAACGTGTAAAGAAAAATTAATATTTCTCATCATATTTTTTTAAGCATGAAAACTTTTGTATAACATTTACTATTATTGTCAAATTAAATTTGATTAAAATTTAAAATCTAGTAATAACAAAAATCAATTTTAAAGTTTAAAAATAATTTGATAATCTAATAACATTCAAGCTATACTAGCATTATAATAACTGGTTCATCGAATTATATGTTATACAATTATTATTGTACACTGTGGTATAATACTTAGCTACTATTAACAGTGGAACCTCGGCAAGTCAAAATTCAAAGGAAATGCAATTGTTTTGACTTATTGAGGTGTTTTTGAATTACTAAATTTTTGAGTAATCAACAATTTGACTTAGTTTTTAAAATGTATTATAGTTTTTGATTATTGTATAATATATACATACACATGCTCATATAATTAGAATGTGTATTGTTATTATTACTATTTTAAAATTATAATAAAATATGTGATAATTAATTAAAATTAAAGAGTTTTTTCAAATTATGAAGCGTTTTACATTCATTGCATTGTACACATGTAGCAAATTGATTACAAATTCGCAATTAATAATGCCAAATATAGTATTAATAATAAACTGAATGAAAAACATGATAATAAACACAATTAACACAATTAGGTTACATTATTGGAATCCACAAGACAATTAAACAAATGATTATAAAAATTTCCATCTATATTTGGACCACAGGATATTTGAATTATCTAGTTTTTCTTTTTAGTAATCGAGGTTTTCGCAAGGAAACAGAATATATTTTGATTTATCAAGGTTCCACTTTAACTTTAATTTAATTAAATCAACAACAAAATTTTATATTTAAGAGGATGTCGAAACCACATGTTTTCTTTATCTTATAATAGTACAAAATAGCTTAATTTAATTTCAGCATAGACAATTTTGTTTTGTTAGTTTTAATATTCAAATAAATTGACCTATAATCAAACTTATCAAGGTAAGGTAATAAAAATATTGTTTCGGCTTTTTTAATATTTTAATTTTGAAGCGAATCATAACTAAGTAATATATTACAATTTTAAATATTTTATAACCCAATATAAAATGAAAATATCAATAACTTTAGATAATATTCTTACATATAAGTTTGAACGATAGATATGTTAAATTACTATTATATTAAAGCAAACAATACAAAATTGAGTCTGCTGAATACAGATTTGTTATGTTCTATGTTTGTGAGCAGTGATGATTTTCTCAGGAGACACAAAGGAGACAATGCACTTCCCTTGAAAAATCCATGTAGTTTTAATTATTTTATCAATATTGTTGAATTATAATTTATAATTTAAAATATATATATTTTAATTAATAATTAAAATGTAAGTATCATTCATGAAATAAAAGGGTAATTGATAATTAGTTAATTACAACCAATAATAAGTCATCTACTACATTTTGAAAGGAAAAATATATAAAACAATGTATAATATTTCATAAAATTATATTACAATAAAGGAATATTGGGGCCTGGGGTATTTTGTCTTAAATGTTTAGAACTTATAAAAGTATACCAAATTGTCATCTCTTCATAAATTTAATTTCATAATCATTACTGTTTTTAAGACAGAGACAACATACACAGGAAGATTGGTGTCCTTCTTATAGCTAACACAAAAAATAAAACTCGCATACAATGTGAGAATTTGTTAGTAAACTATAGTATTAATACAAATACATACATCGTCATCATATGTTTCATCATTTATATTGCCGAAAGTATTAATTTTTTGTGTCACTCTTTCAACAAGATCTAAAAATATATGCCGATACCTGGAATAAATATATTTATTATTAGTAAGCTACTTATTAAAAATATAACAAAATTCAGCTAATATATTTTTTAAATAATTACAAACTACTATTATTTAAAATCTAATAATAGAAATTTTCATTTCTAAACAAGTAATGAATTTAATTTTTATATTAAGTTCAAATGTATCAAATTATTAGAATTTAAAAATAATTAGATACACAATTTAAAAGTAAATTTCATAATTACTTTTCAATACATTCAGGACGATCAGATAATGCTTCAAAAATGCTACTCCATATATCCAAGCATTGATAATAACAATCTAAAACATCTTGCCGGAATGTAAATTGTAACAGTAATTCTAAAAATTCACCATTATTAAAATGATTATCAAGATAGTTCCAATATTTTCTAATGACTACAGAGAGAATTTCAATGATTATAATCATGTAACTGAAAAAATATAAAATTTATTAGACAAATGTTTACATAAGTTGTGTATACATTATATTGTATACTTACGCTTCGTTTACAAAACCAATTTCAGGAACAGAAATGATATTTTCAACTAAACGGAATGTATAAAGACATAACTCAGACAAAATGAAATATCTATCTTCTGTTTGAGTGTATGATTTACTTAGAACTTCATTAAATATAGTCAATGTGTTAATGGCTGTAGCATTCTAAACAATAAAAATAATGATTTCATACTATTAAATTATTATATTATAAAATATACCTCTTTTTTCCCTAAGGGCATCAAGACATGTAATAAATCTGGGGTCAGATACTTTTCAAATGGAAGCCATGTAAACATATCAGAAAATACTTTTGTAACTGCTTCATATATTTCATCAGAGTTTGAAGTTTTGTGGGCATTTTTTAAAATGTCTAAAAATAATTTATTATTAATAGCTATTTATATTAGATATAAACTGTTATTGTTATTAAATTAATAATGCTACATTTTTCCAGTATAACAGTAAACTTTCTATAGTAACATAATAATTTTACCTGAAAGTATTTCAAACAATTTAGGAATGTGCTTCAAAAAATTTACTTTCAGTTCATGTCTTCTTTTACCTAAAAGATCTTCTTTGGGGCTAATAAATTCTTCAGATGACAAAAGCAAAAATGACAAGCCCAAAAGAACTTGATCAGGATTTATAAGCAACTATATGAATTACAAATATATTAATAACTTATTTATTAATTTTTGAATTTAATTAATAGAACCCTTACTTGTGCAATATGATCAATAAAATTTGGATACCGCAAAGGCCAATCATTACGTGCTATATCAACTAATAACTTGATCATTTTACTGATCATATATTTTGGATATTCATTGTGTTTCATTACAATATGGTTAAAAATTGCTTCCCTCAGTGTTTCTTGGGATTTAAAAGTCATTTTTTCCCATTTCTTATTAATGATCATCTATTTATCAAATATTTGCAAATATATAATAATTTTATTGTAGCTATTAGTTAAAAAAAAAAAAAAAAAAACTAAGTATCTTACCTCCATTATGTTTAGGCTGAACATTAACAAATATTGGTTTTTACTGTTCTCCAGGTTGTAACAACACTGCACCCAACATTTGTCTCGCTCACCAAACTTGTCGAATTCTTCTTGCATACATAGTTTTACGGCGTTACTGGAATTTGCGTCATAGAACTCTGTCAACATCATCTCGTAGTTTTTCATTTCGTGTTCGTAAATCTAAATAACACGAAATAATAATCGTCAGTTGTAATATTATGTACACTCACTCTAGCATAGCGCACGTAGAATTTATACTTACAACCACGTCTTGACCGCTCATAATGATGGCTATTGTTAATGGTGATAGTTTAAATTTCTAAACGATCAGGAAAACAATTTGTTTGGCCAACGATTTCCGTGCATTTAATGATCGCCCGACGGCGTTAGATGATATTATTATTAACGAAGGTACGATGTTTACTACAGTACATCATTTACAATTTACATGATCGCTAAACTTCAGTAACCATACCGTTATTTAATAAAATCTTTAAACAATACGCGGTAAGCAGAAAGCACAATGTAAAATAGTATTTTTAATTTGTAACAAAATTAAAAACATTTTCGAACGTTATCTTGGTTATTATCAGATCAGTGTAACCAACCATAAGAATATGAGTTATGTTATTGTCATTGAAATGTGTATAATTATAGTATAACCATTGATTACTTAATAAATAATATAACATTAACATGTACTTTTATATTGGTAAAATCAAATTTGTTCTAGTACAAATGTACAATCAACATACCTGTTGGTATTTGGTTATTGCCTACCTATTACTTAAAAATCTGAAAATCAATTATAGGTTTTGAAATTCAATCAAAGAAAAATTTTGGATTATTCAATCCGTAAAAATAAGGTTTTGATTTGATTTATTATTTTTTTTAATTTAAAAAACTTAAAATTTTTATTTAAAACAAAAAAAATAAACAATACAATATTTAAGTATGATTTGGGTCTCTTTAAGACATTCGTTATAATTTGTTTGCGACTGTACAATGCATGCATATCGATGGATGTAATAATGTATTATATGAATATGTTAAAATTAGTAATCGTAATTCGTAATTTCAACGGATATCACAATTGTTCTCAACTACAATCGTTTTTAAGTATGCATCATTCGCCAAGTAGGTAACTGATACCTACCCGAACACTGAACCACAGTTTTATTAGCTGCTACGTGATCAACTGTTTCACAGCTATTAATTAAAAAAACTAGATAGATTCTAATTTCACGGATAACCAATATTATACTAAAGTATATGTACTTATGTATAATTAATAATTATACCTTGATGGATAACATATATTATAGAGACATATTACCACTTACCAGAATTCAATTTGACTTAAACATAACTCTGATGTAAAGCATAGCACAGGGTGAAAGGTGTACTATACGTCTATACCTACCTACTACCTACTATATGTCTATTATAATACTTAGTCAATACTCAATAAGTAGATATAATACATTAATATGTACCTAACGAATCCCAAATCTACATAATATGATTTGGAAAGAAAATATTTAATCGTATATACAAATTAGAACTAGGTAGGTACCTAATTGCTTTAGAATACTTATTTAATTTTTAAAATATATTATGTAATATTTATATTAAACTATTAAAGTACCTGATTTATTTTTCAATTAATATTACTGTAAGCATTAAGCTGATTAATATTTTTCATATAATATTAATTATTATTATAATGAAGTATACACAATCTATATTCATATTATATTTTGAGTTACTACCTATCTACTGATTTAAAGAATAGTATAAATAGGTATTATCTTAAAATAAAATCAATTAACACAATTATTTTTATGAATGTTTTTAAATTACCTACAATAAAACTATCTAATCCGACAATACTGTGCTATTGCTAGATTTCAGTAGGTAGTCAATACATTTATATATATTCAGAAATATGTGAAAAGTTTGATACCCGTTGCCTATATCAATATCTTCATTTGATATTTGATTTATTTTTTTAGTAAACTTTAACTTACATAAATGTAGAATGTATTCGTTTTGTTATGATGTATACTTTTTTACTTTTTTTTCATCGGTAATTTCAATCCGTCTCAAGTACTTATTAAATATTTCTGGATACACCTTCTCGGGCCATCAAAAATATATTTTGTTTACTTGTGACACGTGACAGGCTACGTACAATTTTATTGGCCATGGGAAAAACATTGGACGGTTAAGTTTAAACCTGCAAAGTTTAATGTTAGACCCTATGCCTTAATGATAGTCATTGAAAAGCTTAATTGTATGGGAAATTGGAGCTGTCTAAATTGATATAGCAAATTGGTTGGTATCATTGGTATTCTAGGAGCTAAGACCGTTTCCTTAGCTCCGCAGCCAATAAAGATTATACACTCGTCACTTAAGTAGACAATTTTTTAAAGATTTTATTTGAAACTTTACTGTTGTATCGAGTGAGGAGTGTAGGTGGGAAATATGTAACTACACACGAGTGCTAAAAGCTTAAAGTATACTTATTTTATTGTATCAAAAATAACGAATGGCTAAATGCGATAACCATGTAATAATTACAAATAACGATAGCGAGTATGGTAAAGTATGATAAAAAGTTATGTAAAATAATGCGAAAATACATGTTACGCGTTTGTAGTTTGGCTCCGACACATCACTAAGTACGACGTAAGGCGTTAATTATTTACATTATTGATGTTATTTTCGGTACCCAATTAATTTTTCCAGAACAAATTGTACATTAAACCCTTTTCTCGATCTAGACCTATTCATTAGTGACAACTGTATTAAAATCCGTTGAGAACTTTCTGAGTTATGCCCGTACATACAAAAAAAAGACCTCTATTTTATACATAATAATATATACAGATAAAAAATACGTATTAAAATGTCATTTAAATATATTCCTTCCAAATTTAATCTTAAAATTAACATAAAAAATAATGTTTATATTTAGTTTTATGTTCTTTAGTTCCAGTATAATTACTTATTAGAGATATATTGCATTACATTTTCAAACCTTAGTTATAGAAATTGAAAACTTAATAAATTTTTACTAGAAAATACTTGTAGTTTGTAAGTGTGATAATTTTGATCCAGCAATTAATTTTCAATAGTCATTTATAAAAAAAACCAAAAATTTCCCATAAATAGCTCAAAAACGTGTTTTGAAAATTACACAGTGTATAGAAAATGATATTATTTGAAAACATTTGATGAAAATTTTAAGTAACTACGATTATTTATTTTTGAGTAATAATAAATTTCATTTAAGAAATAATAGTTTTTTTTTAGGCAAATTGGTGAATATACAATGTCATAAAAATATAAACTTCAAATGCTCATAAAAATCTGATTTTTCAGTAAAAAATTCTGGTTTTTCCTAATTAATAAAAAAAAATACTGAGAATTTTTTAATTCTGACACCCCAAAGTACCAAATATATTAGATTTTTTACTAAAAATTACCATCAAAGTTTAAATCTGAAACATTTTTATTTTCCAAAAAATGATGACAACAGAAAAAATACATATCATTATAAAATGTATACATTTATTATTTTGCTACTAAGAGTAAAAAGGTCCAAAACAAAAATTGTATGTCTTGCAAATTTAGAAAAAGCCAAAATATTTTTAAAATTTTATTATATATAGATAATGGTATTTTATTTATAAGTATTTGGTTATTCATTAATTATAACAAAATAAAAATTTGACTTAAATTCTAATTAAAACCATATTGATCATGACCTACAAATAATGTCATATATAATTGTAAATGTCATATTTATTTAATTGTTAGATTCAAAATATAAAATGATTGTCAAACAAAATACTTGTAATTATAATAATCATTGACCTGGTTTATCTGAATGAATATTTTTAAATTATGTTAATTATTTTTAGTTTTTGTTATCATCAAGTTTTTAAATAATGGAAAGGGAAAATAAACTGTTTAAATTAGTAAATACATTCATGAATTTGGACCATCACTTTACTCAAACTTCAAATATATGCCCAAAAATTAGTGAATAGTTAAAAATAATCTATTTATTTTTTGTAACAGTTGTTTTTATTTACAAAACATAAATGTACAAAGGTAACTATAATTTATCATGGAGAACACAAAAATACTTGCAAAAAATTCTTAAAATTAAAGTTTTAAAAATAAAATTATAACTCTAGTCAATTGAGGCATGAATTATAATTTCAAATTATTAGTCAAAGTCAATATTTTAAAGTTGAGGAAAGTCAAATAAATCAAATCCAGAGGTTCGTTGTCTTAATAGTATAATGGCATTAGTTATTTTCAATGCATGACCAAATGGAACTTTTAATATATTCATTATATCATCTTGATTTAACATTAGAAATGACTCGCCATCGATTTCCTATACAAAATAGTCACTTAAAACATTTATTAAATGGCAATAAACACAATAATATATCTATACTTGATCAATGAACCGATCAGATATACTGATTTCTTCATTGGTATTAGGACTTATTGAAGTATACGTTGCAACCACTTTTTTAACATATGAAGCCACTTCTTGAATAGACCATTTTCTTGCATCAGTAGTATTGAATAATGGTATACCTAGTTGAGCATTATGTCTGGTCCAATAATTGCGTTGTGGTTCCATAAAAACTGAGCCTAAATTATATCCCACAAGAGACAAACCAAGTGCCTTGCGCAACTTTTTGTCATTGCTACTTGGAATGTTATTATGAAATGAAGTTTTACTATCAGAATCACATTCTGGTTCAATATTATTTGTGTCTAACATAAGATTTAATCTAAAAAATTAAAACTATTTTTAATGAAATCAATTACAATTAAATCTATGACACTTATAACTTAAGAAGTATATAAGTTGTCTTACCTTCTTTCATTTATTTTTTCTTTGATCTTAAACAAATTTTTATTTTCTATATTCATTCTGTTTTTTTCTTTATTTTCATCATTATGATGTCTATTGTTTTTAGATTTTGAACTATAAAAGAATTATTTATTTAAATTGGTTAAATCAATACAAAATATTTAAAAATTAAAAATTAATACTACTTTTTCAATGTTGTAGATATTGAAACATTACTAGCTTTTAATCGATCAGACATCTTAGCCAACCCAGCTACAGCTGTTTTCCATGAATCCATTTCATATGGGCAATCTTTTAATTCAACATGATCGTTTTTCAATCTATTTGAAGAATTTCCATAACCTCTACAACCACGGATATTGCAATTCCAAAGTGTATTAGGTGCTTAAAATTTATATAAAAATAAATAAATAATGATACATGACATAGAAACATGGTTAGGTTATTTTAAATAAAAAAATAGCTATTATAATGTCAATACTAAAAATTACATAAAACTATTAATTAAATAAAGAGTCAATGGTCAAACTTAAACTTATTAATATGTTCACTTATTACATTAGTCATTTGTCTATAATTAATTAAAAATTACATAAGAGAGGAAACTAAATTTATTAACTTATTTATATTTAATATATATAATTGGTAAATTTATACCTGGAGGTAGTTCAATCGGATGGTTAGTCTTTGCTGACCATCCAACAGGATGAATATCTGGACTATCGTCTTCAACCCAGTATGCATAATTATCATCAAATCCATCATAAACAATTTTTAGTTCATCACCTCTGACATCTACTACCCTAGCAATTCTTAATAATTTTGGAACAACAAGATCAATAACCTCAATCATCATTTTATTAGAAAAGTCTCGTAATGGTCTGCGGACAAATGCATCTTCAGGTACAGGATTACTATTTGTTTCTTTTAAGTATACAGTCCAATTAAAGGGGTTTCTTCCTTTCATGTCTAAAAATTTTTAATATTTTAAAATAAATTAAGTTATGTTCAAAATTAAAACTAACCGTTATAACCACTTGGCGGAGACAAAATTCGACCATTGTTATCACACCACCATATTGGATGTATATTAGTTGATGTAATATCCGTCCAATAATCAAAATCATCTGACCATCCATCAAAATGAATACGAATACGATTACCCAAGGTATCAGCAATAGTGGCAACACATATTAATTGTTTTGGAAGTGTACGAGTTAATTTATCTAATGCTTCTAATTTATCTCCGATACGAAATTTATGTTGATTTTCATTATTCTATGCACAAAAAATACATAATATATTTTATAAATATAATTCAAACTGAGAAAATAATGAAAATTATACATAAGATTAATGTTATATTTATTAATTGTTTAATGATAAATAATTATTATAACTAAACACACAATAAAATAATATAATTTAATATCTTAATAAAATTTGCACAGTATATAAAAGTTTATGAACATAGAAGAAAAGTTATTTCTATTTAAACAATATTTCTCAAGTTCCAATAGTTCATTTCTATGAACAATGCCTCCAATCGATAGGAAAATAAGCACATAAAAAAAGAAGAGAATAAATGAAACTATAGGATTTTCTATGTGAAAATCAACTAAGTGAATTTTTTTATTTAAATAACTTATAAAAAAGATTGAATTTTAATTATGAATATAATTTCATTTTAAAATTTAAAACACCTATATTATCAGTCACCAAGTGGGTTAATTTGCAGGTTAAAGATCACTCATCTTTACTAGTATAAAATAGTAATTCACTGTCACTTACATTGATATTTATAGTAGAAAAAAAATTGCGTTTTGGAGCTGGTAAAGCCTGACACTCTCTAAGATAACTAATCCAATTAAATTCATTTCCATAATTATTTGGTGGTTGTAGAATCCGTGAATTCATTTTACACCACCCTGGATGAAATAAATTTGGACAATCTGCATTTACCCAAAAATCATAGTCATCTGGATAACCATCAAAATGTAATTTAATGCGATATCCTAAAATAAGTATAAACATACAAAACAAATAATAAAATCAAGTAAAATGTTATTACCAAATTAAGGATACAAGCATAGATGCAAATATAAAATAACTTGAGGAGGTTAGCTCCATAATTTATCAGTATATTTAATGTTTTCAACAGCATACAATGCACTCAATTCTATACTCTTTCTATGTTGTTTTATACAGTATTATTGGTAATTTCAATAACAAAATTAAAATTATATGTAATATTACACTAAAAAATTAACGTGTAATTAATAACTCTCAAAAAGTCTTTCAAAATTGTCTAATGTAGTAATAACTTTGTCAATCAATTTTACTACTTGTGAAGGGTAGCTTTCTCTCATGCAGACTGAAAAAATGAATAATATTGAAAATACTAAAAAAACCATTCAGAGATTTAGGGTAACTAACCATTGAAAAAAAACTATAAATATTGATACGTAATCATTAAAAAATTATTTTTTTGAAATCCAACAAAAAATTCATTTAGTATAGTATTGTATATAAAAAAATAATAGAATTATTAAAATATTTGAAGTCAAACCAGATATTTTTAATAGGTGTATTATTTTATAAAAAAGATGATAGAGCTTAACTATCCTCAATGTAACATTTTATTTACATCTACAATACCAAATTAAATTAAATTTATAATTACCACAAACTTCTGATACAGTCATTACACAGAATAATGCTTCATGTTTGGGATCAATACCTTCAAGTTTTTGTCCTACTACAAATAAGTTCTTCTCAGATGGAAAAGGTCTATCAAATAATTTTTTAGGAGCAGATTTCAATTGCATTTCAACCATATATTTTAATACATCTTTGTCTTCTATAAAAGGCTAAAATAAAATATAAGTTATTAATACAAAATAACATTGTTATTTATAAAAGTATACTTTAAGATCAAAATAGTCATCATCATCATCATCATCATCATCATCATCATCATCATCATCTTCATCATCATCATTATCTATTGCTTTTGGAGAATTAATTGGTAAAGATAATTCTGAAGGAGATTTATTTTCTTCTATTGATGGTTTATTAAAAAAATTTATCAATTGTTCATCAAAATCATCATTTTCTTTAACCGAATCCTCTGAACAAGAAGTTGTCAGCAATTGTTTCCTCTTATTTATTCTATTTTCTAATTTTGTTAATAAATGTTTTCTATTAACTGTAGATGTTTTTGATAAATTTGTAGTTTTATTGATAATATTTTTTTCATAAGTTAGTATTTTTTTCATATCTAAATTTTTACATGTTAAACTACAATATAAATCATCAATCAATTCAGGTTCATATACTAATGTATCACAATATTCATATTTGCAAGAAATAAACTGATCAGATGTATCGTCATTTTCTGAAAATAAAAATTTCAAATATGTATTTTTAAACAGTCTATAAAATCATATTTCTATTTTACCTTCATTGGAAGAATCGCTTAGATCACTTAAATTAATAATTTCTTCAGGCAATATTACTTTATTTTTATTCAAATTTTTTTCAACTGTTCTTTTTGTATTTAAATTCTAAAAAATAATAAAAATATGTATAAACAGAATTTCATTTAGCTTAAAAAATCATAAAAAATAATACCTTTGATGTTTCAGTTTTACTAGAATTTGATTCTAATATTTCATCACTAGATCCATTTGAATTATCACCACTATTTTTTAGCATTTCAAAGTGGTTCATTTTTGCTTTCGATTTGCATTGAGAGTTTGAAGATGGTGAATGAATTGTTTTATTATCATTTTTAGTAATTTTATCTGAATTTAAATAATCAAAAAGTAATTTACAAAAAAACGAAAATGGATTTAAAATAATAATTAATACTAACCATAGCTAGTAGAACTTAATGGTGGACTATCTGATGATAGATCAATAATCCCGGTTGTTGTAAGATTTTTTTTTTTACGATAAGCATTACCGTTTTTAACAAAAAACCTTACATTCTTTTCTATTAATTCTTTACTTGTAACAGTGTGAGGAATACACTTTTTAGTTTTACTTTCGACGGTTAAATCAATTGTTTTAGACATTTTACTCCAAGAAGACTTAACAGGTGTAGGTACTATTTTATGTTGAACATTTCTAGTTTCCTGATTATTGGCCAATTTATATGAATTTCCTAGACGAAAAAAATCACCAACTTTATGTCCATTTGGAGTAGGATTTGTTGCCTTTTTTTGTTTAGTATAATTAGTGGTTTGTTTGAATACACTTTTTAAATTAATAGGTACCTGTTCTTGATCTGGTACCATTTTATTTTTTTCACCAGTTTGTTGTTCTATCCGATCTATAAAGTTAGACTCTTCTTTTTTTTCACCACTTGATATAGCTGTCGATGATATAACTGTAAATTGTTTATTTTGTTCATTTGGTGTAACTACAATACTTGGTGCTTTTAATGTAGATGGTAAATTATAACTAGATTTCATCGATGGATTTTTTTTAGATGTACTATTGGTTATCATGTAGCTCATACCATTATGTGGAATTATTAAAACATTTGATTTTAAACTTTTTGAAGATGTAAGTTTGTAAAAACTATTATTCGACGACTCTGGTTTTAAATCTGTTGTAGTATTTTGCCTGTTAAATGAAGCTTCAGATGCTAATCTAATTCGATTAGATTTTACCGAAGGATTTAATTTGGCAAAAGAAGAGTCATTTTTTGGAATAAATAATTTCTTTACATTTAAAGAATCATTTACTTCTTGTTTTGTTATTGAGTTTATATTTTTAATAGTATTTTTATTTATTGAAACCAACTGCTCATATATTTCTGGGTCTGAATCATTTTCAGAATCATCTTGAAAATCATCACTTACAGTATATTTTTGCTCTAACAATTTAATTGAAGTAGGTACATTCAACTGTTTTCTCTCATCTACAATATCACTATTACTCATATCACCCACTGAATCATCGTCGTCTTCAATTATCATTAGTGATTCATTATCCACAGGATATTGAAAATTAGTTTCACTAGTATTATCATAACCACTATATAGCAATGAATCATGATCTTCGAATGAATCTACATCCATAATGGTTTCTATATTTTCATCAGATTTTTCCATGTTTTTTTCAGTAAGAATATCATATAAACCCTAAAAAAATGTTTTTAAATATTAAAATAATATTAATATAATATATTCTATTAACAAAAAATATTTAAGGTACAAAAATAATTCACTTATTTTATCAGAACCATAACAATTACAAAAAAATTAGTACCAACGTTATTTTTTTAAATTTTTATTTAGAATTAAATTAGTAACATATCATTTTAAAAATGATTAAATAAAATAGTTATTAAATATGTAGTAAATTTTAGGCTATCAATTTTCTTCTGCACTATCGATATATTACCCAACTTTTAATTGTTTTTCTAAGTTTCTAAACTACACTATATTTATACACCAAATAAATTGGATAGCTCAACCAATCAATTGTTATTAAGCTAAAAAAATGTTAAAACTGTACTGTAAAATTTTTTTTATACCTTCCAGGCTTCAGTCAAAGTAATTGACATTCTAACATACAAAATTATACATAATATATTGTATGTTTAAAAGTTATATATATTCTAATCCACTACATAAAATAAAACAAATATATATTTTAAAATTACTCAAAAAAAGCATGTATATAAAATTCAATGACTTCTAAATTTTAAATAAATAATATTTAGATATAAAGTTAACATTAGAGTATTTGTTTCAAGTTTTAACACCTAATATAAAAAATAGTTCTTAAATCTCGCCATATTGTTATTGCTCAATTTTCTAACTTGAACAAAACTTTATACACATTACTATCTACATCATCATCATAGTTACCTTTTCTCTTTATTTAAAGAGCTAAAATTGGAATAAATTTTCAAATGATTGACAGCTTTTTAAAAACATACAAATCCCCAGACATTTTAATAAACTTAAATATATTATAATTTCTTATATCAAACATTCATATTAATTAAACTAATTTTTACTTATATTGAATACTTGGTAAATTTTAAATTAAAGATAGTTAATAAAAAATTATTATCTCACTTTAAATGTACAAGCATAATTAATAATATTTCTAATATGCTAATACTAAAACATGTTACCATCACTTTAACCATGTAATTCAAAACATATTTTACAATATAAATTTTAAATAGCTAAATAGGTTTTTAACATTTTAAAACTACAAGATTATGATAAAAATATTACAAATTAAACAATAGTAGTTTAAAATAAAAATAAAATAATAAATTTTAAAATCAGTTAAAATATTAAAAATGCAAATTAAGTCACTAATGTAACATAAATATAATTAGATACTTAGGTAATTATAAATAAATATTATTTACATACTTGCCAAAAATGAATGATTTCATAATACATTTTAGTATGTATTTTGATTGAAATTCAAATATTAGATATAGGTAATAAGAAGAATAAATAATATTTATTGAATTAAACTATTTGTGAAGAAAAAAAAATTCTAAATTCTATTAAAAAATTAAAAAATTAAGAATGAATAAATGTTTATATATATATATATTTTTTTTTTTATTGCCTTATTATAAAATATACTATTATTATTAAATATAAGGTGTTCATTATATTTCAACTTACATGTAAACATGATAATTCATCAAGAAGTTTCCATGAACTTCAAGCACAATAAAAATAAAGAATTTTAAAATACAATATATTTCTCATTTTAAATTTGTTCTATAAAATAAATATGTAAAAATCGAAAATAAGAGCGAGTAAAGAAAGTTAAAAATGAATTTATTATGTATTAGTATCATTAATTATTTTAAAATTTTCATTTGAATATTTAGTGTTTACTAATATAACTAATAAAAATAAAGTCACTGGAAAATTCTATATACATTAACCATAGACGAAGACGAGTTGAATGATAAAAAATGTAATTTATTGGTATAGTTGTTGGTAACATGAGTGGTGCCGAGAGAACAAAATATCATGGAGTAAAGAACAATGATCATAGAATACTTTTTAAACTGATGCACATTACACAAGACGTGCACAAATGAGCACAACTGAACGATTTATCGAAATAACAACTATAAAGTACGAGTTACGACTAAGCTACGGCTACACATATTACAAACTAGTGTAAATAATAATATTTTCTTAACCATTAGTATTGATATAACTATGTCGATGATATATTAATAAATCATGCACAAGAGTATAGAAAGAATAATGGTTAGGAGGTACTCATTGTAAGTTGAATGCAAAAAAATTCAATTATTTTGTCATAATTAACTGCTTATAAAACAGTATTTATACTTCATATTATGCTATTCAATATTCATATATCTTGGTTATAATATTTGTTTGAGTCTTGAAATGAATGGGGATGAAAACGTGAAATAAAAATCGATTTTTACCTATGCCTCAGTGATAGGAATAGAAAAACAAGTATTATAGTATTATAATATGATTTAGAGAAACAAAGAAAACGCTAGGTACCCAACACAAAACTATATAATGTACATAAAAAAAATTAAGTGAGGAATTGTTAGCACTGATTAGATTCGACATAGTTTGGCTTATTGTGAATCCTTGGACAATCCTGGATGAGAGTCACTCAGACTTAGGAGTTAAAACTCGGTGAATGACTTACATTTATAGACTATCAAAAAAAAAAAATAAAAAAAAAAAGTAGGCACTAAATTCTCATAGATTTTGACCATAAAAAAGACACCACCCTAAACCCCCCACCCTACTTAACCCAACATTATTGTGAATCCAATGCAAGTAAACAATAAACATGTGCGTATGTTGTAATTTATATATTATCTATACCGAGGTAATTTAAGTTTTATTAAAACAAATGAAAAGTTATATGTACAATTGTACATAATATAGTAAAATAGGTAAATAATTGATTTGTTTATAATACTATACCAAAAATAATGACTTTAAAATGATATAATCTTATAACTTTATTATATATTGGTTGTATTGTATTCATATATTTTTTTTATTTTAGCAAATAATTAGTTTCTTCATAATACTACTAGAAATATTGATTTTAAATAGCATAATGCCATAACTACATTCATTGTACTGTCTTTATATTATATTATTAAATGTTTGTATATTTAAACCAGTAGAAATAATAAATACTATTTGAATTTTAAAATCAATGATATTTTATCTAATACATTTTCAGTTATTTTTATTTTAACAAAATCTATCTTATAAAATAAACAGATAGAATGAAAATAAAATTCATAATATACCTAATCGGTGATATAAATAGCTTACTTAAATTAATACCTGTTTAATTGTAGATTACAATCCTTGAATATAGTTAAAATAGAAAACTACTTAATAAATCAAAAAATTAAGTGTTAAATACTTATTGCTTTAAAAACCATACAATTTTAAAATTTAGAAACACACTTATTTGGAAATTTATTTTAATTAACAATAATTTAAATAGTAGAAAAATTGACGAATTAGTTTTAGTTTTGAACATGATCTATGTTTATTTTCAATTTAAATGATTAATCACATTTTTATCAAACATTCACAAAATATTAATATGCGCCGGCGCAGCATCGTTTACAATGAAACGCTCCTGTAGGCTGTAGTACTGTTAAAAAATAGGGGAAGAATTAAAAAATGGTTATTAATGTAGAGAAATCAAAAATGTTCATTAAGTATAAATACGGTATTATATTCATCAGTCCAGCGCCTAAAATTTTCAATTTTTCGTACTACATACTAAATTTTAATTAAAGAGTTATAACAAGTAATGTAAAATGAATAATAATAATAATATAGAAAAAAACATTGTTTGCAACACACTTTTGAATTTCGTAGCACACATTTCATTTTTTGTACTACACAAAGTATGTTGTACACTTAATTTTAAGGCCAAAAAAAAAAAAAAAAACACAACATAGAAAACAATCAACGTTATTTCAGATAGCGTTTTCTATTAATTGAGTATACATCACAAACGATTTTAAAAAACTAGCGTAATGAATCTATACATATGTAGTATATTTTTTATGGATACCATTATCCAATAAGAATAATAAGTGTCAACCAATAACTAAGTGCGTGCGCATGGGAGGTACGGGAGAGCATTAAGCAGTTGTTTTTTCAATGTGTTAAATTTATTCTTCGAATAAGGTATATAAATTGCTGAAAATAAAAAGTACTTTATCATTGCCTTTATACCTAGATTTATGATTGATATATTTATAACTTATCTTTAAATATACAATAATTATTGATCGAAAATAACAGAAAAATCTGACCTTTGTCAACATCCTATCATCTATAGCTGGGACGGTCAAACTTTTTTCGGCCAAGATCTACTAAAAATATACTTTACCTTTGAGGATCGACTTCGATAAAACATTTATTATTATTATTAAGTTACTATACCATCATAATTAATTTTCGTGTGCGTAGCCTAAAAATAAATTCTAGCACGATCGACTTTAAAGTCGTTTACCATCGACCGGTCGATCGCAATCGACTGTTTGGCCGCTCCTGATCTATAGATATGATGTCAAAAACCACAGCCGAACATTATTTTGGTATTTTACAATCCAAAGACTTCGATTCATGCTGAAATTTATAACCTATATTATACTTAAAAAGTACAACTAAAAATTCAAAATATAAAACTCTCTTCTCACATCTAAAACTAATGTAAAAAAATTAAAGGTTCAACTTTTTTACTGATAAACGATTGTTAAATATTAAATATTTAGTTTATTTAATTTAATTAAAAAGTGAATAAAACATGGTTAAATTTTTCAAAGAAAAATATCAACCGTTCAATTTAAATAACAGTTCGTTGTGGAAAATCACCAAAAGTATACTCTTTGTCAAAAAGTAAATTGTCCGTTTAATTATTAAATAGAGTATTAGCTATTTCAAATCTTTTTTGTTTATGAACATATTTCTACAAAAATGAATAATTAAATTAATAAATTATTTATTTTCAAGCAATTTTAATTTATTTATTAGACATTCTTTTTAATGAGATAATAATAATTATGACTTAACAATATTATAAGTAATAAAAACTTTATTATATACTAATACTTACATTTAATTATGTAAAAATAATAATTAAAAAATATCTATAGGTACCTACTTCAAACTGTAACAAAAGCACAAAATCAAAAAAACCACTAACGGTAGTACAGCTATACGGCATTTTAACTAGTTTAGCCTTGGTTGGAAATTAAACCACTAGAAAGCGTGTGAATATATTATTTCTCAATAATATTGAAAAAAATATTTTATGTAAAGAAAAATAAATAACGTGAACTTATAGATATAACTCGCCATGCTGGGATAAACACATAGTATTTATATCTGTATATGTGGACCGAGCAAAAAAAAAACAATTTCCAAAAAAAAAAAAAAAGCGACCAATCACAGGTGACCACCCTAACTGTGGTTGATTATCGAAGGAATCTACCTGCACTCATGTTCTCCAAAGCAGCTGAAGGAGCTGTACCACGGTATAAAGATAAGAAGTAGTTAATAGTCAAAATACACAATAATATTTAGTATTTACATTTTGTTTCGGCAATTATGCTCCTAGGACGTGTTATACAGTGTAGTGTGTACCGCATAGCGGATTTCCCGGTGACCAAATTGTGTGGGGATGTGTTCACTGATTTGCCAAACTGCCAAAGGAGCCTTGTGATAGGTCAAAACAACTTATTCTCCTGTGTTTTGTAGAATGTAGGTCTGTTTTTATTTATCGGTCGTTTTTCAGCGACATGTTGTCATCGATCAGCTGCTTAGGCTGCGCCTGTTAGCTTTGGTCTTGTCATACTAGTGTACTCGATTACCTATTGGCTAATGCTGTGTAGATATTAGGTTGTAGATTTATAATAGTTGTAATTTGTAATTATCGTATAATAATACCGTTCGATTTCTTTTTATATAATTTTCTTTTATTTTAAATCGGTAAGAGTCGATAGTATTTCGTTCCAGTTATGATGTGAAATGTGAACATCATCATTTGACAACGTTGATATAATAACGACAATCATTTTGGTGACGCTAACGATATCGCTACACCGTCGTAGGTACGAACTTGTCACCACGGTATAAACACAAAAGGTAGTAAATCTCTCTATTAATAATTTTAATATGATACTATGATTTTAATAATTATTATTATAAACAAATATTACTTTGTATATATTAATATTATCTCGGTGATTTGTATTGTCGCGTATAATTTCCGTCGAATCGTTCACGCGTTTTGTAAGACGTCGACGATTGTTGGCACGCTAAAACTTGCTATTGCAAATGATATATAGGTACGTGTAGAAATTGTAAAACTATGTGTTTAATATTTATTAATTAAATGGACTATGTGGTCTGATCCCAAAGTGAACATGGTTCTGTATTGTGTACTTTTGCAAAACTGGTGTTGGACTCTTGCAATAAAAAAAAATATAATGTTAATACTAATTGCACTTACATTAAATGCATCTTTGTCTGTGGGTTCTTACGTATTTGCAGATTATTCAGCATGTCAGAAAATGTACATATTTCAATATGCACAGTATAATAACAATATATTATTGTGTATTGTTTTCAAATTTCAAATTTTTTTTCATGACCTAGTATTAATTTGAATTTATTTTATGATTTCAGTTAATTACAACACATTATTTGCTTGACAATCAACAAAGATGGGTCAATTTATAAGTGCAAGTCGTAATAACAACAGCAATGATGAGCTTGTTAATACATTAATTAAGAGAGAATATATACACACAACTAATGTGGAACAAGCGTTCAGGTGTGTCGACCGTGGTTTATATTATACTAGTAGTAATAAAGAAAATGCCTATAGAGACACTGCTTGGCAATTGGATAAAGTTCATTTGTCTGCACCTAGTGTTTATGCTACTGTTTTAGAATGTTTGGATTTGCACAAAGGCCAAAAATTTTTAAACATTGGTTCTGGAGTAGGATACTTTAGTACTCTCGCCGGTCTTCTATTGGGTAAGCGTTATGTTAATATTTATTTATTGTAATACCAATTCATTTATATTCTAAGATGGAATTGTCAACATTTTTCCTTATTTTTTGTAGGTGTTAATGGTGTTAATCATGGAATTGAAATTCATAAGTCTCTAATAGATATTGCATATACAAAGTTGGAAGAATTTAAACGCGATGCTGCAGCAATTGATTATTTTGATTTTTGTGAACCTGTATTCATCGAAGGTAATTTATATTTTATTCATATTAATTAAAGAAGTACATACTTATAAATTAATTTAATCACACAAAAAAGGGTTTTATAAATTGTTTAAAAAATGGGTTATTACTAGTGTTGGCCAACGATATATTTTTAATTATTGACATCATTCTAATTTTTCCGATATCGGTATCGATTTGCCTATATTTATTATTACAAAACTACTCGTGGGGAGAGGGCACAGCCTACCGCTCATTCAGTTAATAATTTGTTTAAACCTCCATTGTTTTACTTCATGCCCTAGTTTATTATAATCATGTGGTAGTGGAATATTATGCATTAAACATGTATAATATTTAGGGGGTTTGTAGGTATTTTATGTAACAGTTTTGGAGGATAATGTGGAGTGTATGTTGCTCCCCCCCCCCCCCAAGAAAAATTACTGCTGACAACCTTGTATAATTATATGTATACTAATTCCTAAATAATATGGACTAACTTAAAAGTAAAAGTATGTATAATTAAAAATTTAAGTTTATAATATTATGTGGAAAATTAGGTATGGAAATAATAAAAATATGTATAGGTATTTCAGTTTACGAATTTTCTTCTTCCAGCAGTTTTTCCATCAATGTTTCTTTAAAATTTATAACAATTTGCCATAATTTATTATCTAGTAGATAAAAGTAATAAAAGTTTATATATAAATATAAATCTGTCAATTTTATTTGTATTTTGATATCGCAATATTTTTGATAATTATTTTTAAAAATCATATCGTTGGGTAATCTTTTTAAAATATTTATAATATTTGATATGTGTAATACAAATTTTGTAATAAAATAACTTAAATTCATTTTAATAAATGTGTGAGTTGTTTTTTTCTGTATAATAGTTATAGTTATCTATTTTTCTAATAGTGATACAAGAGACTGAACTAGTTTTTGCCAAAAAAAGCATATCTGTTCCTTTTTATTTTAATTCCACCATTTATTATTATTAATATATAAGTCAATATCAATTGTACTGTAGAAATTTAAAGTTAATTCGAATATTTAAAAAATATTATTATATAGGAAATGCTTGTGAGCTGTTGTCAGTAGGTTACTATGATCGAGTCTATTGTGGAGCTGGAGTACCACCAGCGGAATCTTCATTTATGAAGGCTCTTATCAAAGTATTGTTATTATTAAAAGGTAAAAATTTAACAATAAAATTAAATAACCTTTTTTTATCAATGTGTAGGTTGATGGTGTATTAGTTATGCCATTGGAAGGGTTCCTTGTGAAAATAATAAGAACAGGTGAATACTCATGGAAAACAATTGATGTTTTGGAAGTATCGTTTACAGATCTTGTTGTACCAGAAAAATGTAATGTTATGAATGTTGCAAAATTCCGTAAGTTAATATGATAATAAGTTTCAAATACATGAATTATAATTTAAGTTGTTTTTTTCTAGCTCCTGTTGAACCAATGAGTTTACTAGAGTTATGTAGATCAAATATTCGTGCATCCATACGAGATAGTTTGAAGGAAAGTTTTCCCGAACTGCAAATGCGCACTAAATGTAAGCCAAATAAAAGTTATGATCAAAAATTTTTCAATATTGATGATCCATCAGGTCAATTTGTCCGTGTACAATATGGTCCCACTGAAGGAGGAATAGTTAATTTAAGGAACATTGTAGATACGTTTGCTGGTTTAGATGAGGCTATATCAGATGTGGGTTCAACATCAGAGAATGAGGCTATATCAGATGTGAATTCATCAATATCAGAGACTGAGGCTTTATCAGATGTGAGTTTAACATCAGGAACTGAGGCTAATAGAGAAGATAATGATAATGATGGTGATTGTGATTATGACGATGATGATGATAACGACGATGATGCTAAAGAAAATAAAAGTAAACAATGTGATAAACGTTTACATAAGAAAACTGAATCAGATACTAAAAGGAAATCATCAGAAGCTGGATGTTCTGAAGAAAATAAAACATTGCCTGGAAAATCAGAAAACAGAAAAAAAATGAGAATGAACATATCTTCTACAGCCAAAAATCGCCAAAACAACCAATTGAACAATAGAAGAAATAGTGATTTATGGGTGGTTGAAGATTATGCGTCTAACAAATCATCATCCGATGATCGTTTAAGTTGGACATCGAATGAAGATAATGCAAATAATGTAAGAAATCGTAATTTTGATGTAAGCTCTTTGCTTGATGGTGATAACAGTCATGAAAGTGATTCTGATGGTGAAGCTGCTAGAGAATTGATATTATATCGCTTTCTCAGTGAACGCAAAGATAATGAGTTGAGCAAACTTTTAAAGGTTAAAATTGATCTGTTACCAGTACCGAATATGCTCAAGACGTTTCTCAATTATTATAAAAAAATGTAATAATTTGATGTTCGGTAGTTTATAAAACATTTTTTTTTTTATTATTTAATCATTCGATTATTTAGTTCTTATTTTTTTTTTTTTTTTGTATATAATATACATTTATTCTAGTTTAATTGTTTATTTTAAGAACTTTAATATGGTTTTTACATTATTAACTAATAGTTGTAAACATTTAAAATTTTGGATTTCTTCAAGTCTTTATTGTTTAAACAAAGCAACAACTATTTGAAGAATACAGAAAGAATGTCCAAACTAATTGAGACGTGTAAAAAAAGAAAACATTTATTTACATATTATATTGTTTTGTATTAAGATTTATTTGAAGTTTGATTATTATTATATTTTTTTTTTCTACAATTTTTGTTAAATAATTTGTTATTTTATTTACCTATAAAATAACCAGGATATTATAATTTATTACATACAAGTAAATGTCATTATGATCATTTTTATAAATTATAATCATTCAAAAGTGTTAAATGTTTATGTATGTAAGCATCAATTAAAGTTTTCAAGATGTTTTTTCAGTATATTTTATTTTAAATATTCATTATTTAGTTTTTTTTCTTAACTAGTGTTTTATAGCAGCCAACATTGTACTCTGAAAATGTAGTCACCTTTATGTTGTATAATGCATATTATAATTTTTTTAGAAATGAAATAAACTAGACATAATTCTCAGTTAGGATAAAATAAAACATTTATTACTTATAAATTATAGTTAGGATTGATGTAGGATATTGTTGTCATTTTCATGTGTTTAGTAGACACAGTAAAGCAACATTGATAGTAGAGGATAAAAAGTATGTGCTTGACAAACAGGGTTGAAGTACATTAATTAGAGTCCTATAACATTTTTCCACCAAAAAAGGTTTTGTTCACTAATAGCTAGGTATATATTTAAAATTTATAATTTAGGTTCTGTTTAAATAATGAGAAAAAACAAAATATATTAAAGTATTTGTAAAAAAAAAAAAAAATTAATACTTAGGAACAACGTGTGGACCTGTGAACTGTTTAACCTTGCAGTCAATGTTCAATGATTTACTTATAGTGTATGATAGATCATCGGGATAAAGTCGCGCCAAATCATCAATGGGTACAAAAGCGCACAACTCATGACTGTAATGTGTGAAAAATTTGCCAATGTTCTTGAAATTGTAATCGTATGGTTTCAGTTGTCTCTGCAATTTTTCTGTAACAACATTTTTGTGATAATTCAGAAACTATACTTAATATAAATGTATATAATTTATGTGTAATATCAACATAGCATCAAGTTAATACAACAAATAAATTTATTTAAAATGAAAGCGTAAAAGGGTTATTAAATAATTATTTGAATTTAATTTGGTCCATAACAAAGTTATTATTTAAAGTAGGTCAATAAAATTATTGAAATAATACAAAAAATAAATTTATCACATTAAAAATTATAATTTTCAGTAGCCTAACATAAAATTAAGTTTATAAATAATCTAGAAACTATTTTTTAGATTGTATTAGTAATATTCTAATGCTATAAAAATTTATAAAAAATCAATAGTTTCTGAATAATGAATATTAATTATCATTTGCAGTATATAATATGGTTAGGTTATATTCATAGACCTAATAATGTTTATGGATGAAATTTAATAATCTAACTAATATTAAGCACCATCCATAACATTTATCTACCTTTTTAGATGAACATTGTTATTCTCATAGCACATTTTTATCTTTCTGACTTAATTTCCTATGTGATTCCCCTCTTTTCTTATTCTTTATCAAATTGAATGTCTTTTTACACACTGTTATGTAGTCCAAAATATAAATAATTTTCCATATTTCTTTCTATCTCATAAATTATATAAGTAATTGAGCTTTTAATCGTATCATAAACCTTTTATTTGACAATAGCACCTAACCCAAATAAAAAAAAATCGGACCTAACATGTGAATATTGGTTTCAATAGCTTCATTATTTAAGTTTGTTTTTTATTAATGTAAAAAAAATCATACATGTATATTTTTATCATAGATGAAATGAACACATTTAATCTTAAATTATAGAGAAAATCGTATTTATTTATTTTATTGATAAACCCTTTTGGAAAATATTATCATGCAAATTTAAAATAAAAAAGAACATAAGAAGAAGAAAAACAAAAAAATTATTGATACTTAATAAAACCTTTTTAGCTAAATCAAAAACAATTCCAACATACCATATCTGCCTTCCCATATCGCCTTGATAACAGGGTTTTGATATTTAGCTGTACTGAAATAATGATCAGGTCTGATGAGCACATGGTATACAGTTGGATTTGGCAATGGGTTGTTACTGGGAACTCTTGTCCAGCCCACAACCACACCACGTTTAGTCACGATACTTGAACAGGAGCTATTACCCATAGCAATGGTATCAATCATCATGCCAATTGAATATTTTGGATCATGAATCTCTCCACGTTTTTTAGGTACTGCGGGGAAAATTTCTTCCCACTAATCATTAAAAAAATTCTATGTTAAATATTTTAATTATCAATTACAAAAAGTTTTATCACTTACATCTGTGTACATAATGTTCTTCTCATCTGCATGGTTAGGAGCCTGAAAATAGTAAAATTATGTTGAGAAATAAAAATTCCTGAACTATCTGATATCTATGGCATAAATGTAATATATTTCAAAATAGAATACTTACATAGGGATTAGATGGATTTCTGAGCAAAGGACATCGACAATAGTCATAATACTGATGGAATTTTTGACATTTAAATTCAACTTCAGAATCATCAGGTTTTAAAAGTTTTTGGAAATCCAATACATATTTATACGTAGCCATATTTTCAATAGTAAGTTGCTCCACAGTTTTGCTAAATGTCCAAAACAACTAAAAAGTACAAGAAAAAAACCTAATATAAATTGTATTCATTGTTTTTGTAATACTTATATAATTAATTTTTATTTTTTATTATATTACTGGAAAATTTAATAGTTAGGTGGACAATTAGAAATAGTTATTTTGTGTATTTTACTAAAATTATTCAGATTCAATTTGATGATATAATTTTAAATCATGTACATCTTATAACTGAATTTAAAATTATATTTATCGAATTCAAGGCAAAATAAATAGATTTACAAGAATATTTACGAACATATTTATGTTTGTTAAAATAATTTTGTTCTTGAAGTTTTTAAAGAAAATATAAGTTTAGTTTTGAATAAATGGATTTTTTTCATTACATTAAAATATTTGAGAAACTAAAATTTAAATATTTAAAAATGCATGGTACATATAAATTTAACTAATTCTTCTTATTTTTAATTACTTAATTTATTATTCAAACTGATGTCTATCTAAGTAACATAAAACCTTATATAAACAATACCTACATTTGTAAAATAAATTCTGATACATCCAAAATAGTATTTACTCAAGATAATACCATTAAGATATTCATAGAAGCAATTTCAGTTTTTAACTTAAATGAGCTTTATACATTTAAATAAAACAGAATTGTGAGGGGGGATTTTAACCTCCATACCCACTGTTTAAATACAAAAAAAAATATATTAATTAGTGTAATGTTATTTAACATAATATTTTTTCTCACCCATTTTCCTAAATTTAATACACAATTAAAAATTATAATATATCTAGTACTAAAATGAAAAATATATTAATAAAACAACATATATGTATTTATATATATTTTATAATTGTGACTATTGATTTGAAATTGCAAATTTATCAAGATTAATTCGTTGGACAATTTATTCATTCAATAAATCTTGATTAGAATAAATTGTTAATAAAATAGTAAATCTATCTAAATTCAGGGAAGTTCGAAACCAATTTTTAATTTTTCCTTATAGCTGAAAATGACCATTTACATGTCGTAAGATTAATATTGGTGAGAAAATATTATAAATTATAAAAAAAATTGTATAATATTACAAAATTAAAAGTTACAAGTTCTTATAATTGCAGGCTATGTTATAATTTATAAATAAATTATTAAATTCATAAACTAATAATAAATAGTATTATGACTTATGAATTATGATTAACAAAATTAGAAATTAAAATATAAGTATTTAACATAATGACTTGGGCTGTTATAAAATTAAAATCAGTACTAAAAATATACTATTATTAAAGTTATGGCTAAATTAAAGTCAAACTATACTACGTTATGTGTGTGGGTCTACTATAGAAAACACATGAAAAATGAACTGTTGTTTAAACTTTAAAAACTTATTTTTTTAAACAACGTTGACTATACATAGATTAGATAATTTGATACTTCAATTAAAATACATATGTTTAGAGGAACTAAGCTCATTTAACCCTTTTCCAAAAGTGCCTATAAACATATTATTTAAGCACTCGATATATAAAATACATTAAAATCCTAATTGTAATTTTTTTTTATAAATGAGAAATGTGACCATCAGTTATCATGAATAATTACATATTTAGTTGCATAGCAATCAATTAACACAGCTAGATTTTCCAATAAGATGCATATAGTACAAGAACATTTTTATTATGTGAGTAAAAAACTAAAATAATAGTAAAATATAAAAAAATAATTAAATGTAATACACTGACTAAAAATTAAAATCTAGGTAACTATCTGTACAAATATCATTAGGTAGGAAATATAATAAAAAAATAAATCTTTTATCAAGCATGAGAATATATTTTCAACTGAGTAAAAAAGAATTCATAGCTAAACGAATCTTAGTAAATTTTTGGTAGGGCAAAATTATTATTTTTAAACATAGTGAAATACGAATTTAAAGTTTTTATTCCTCAAACAATGTTCTAACAATAAATATATGTATGTAAAATATATCAAATTAGAAGATATTATTCATATTAGATTTTATATAACTTTAAGTACACTCTTATACAATATATATATATTCTAATGATTAATTAAAAATTACATAAATCACATACAGAAAAATAATATTCAAGCAATATGCTTTTAAAAATCATAAATATATTATAATTAAAGCGCGGATTTTTATGCACTTAAAAGTATCGAAATATGCCATATAATATGCAGTAAAAATCATGAAAATATGCAGTCAAAATTATGAAAATATGCAAGAATTTTTTATTTATTTAAAATTTACAATAAAACTTATAATAATTAATTACTTAAATACTTAATAATAAAAAATTTAGGGAATTTTCTAAACTTAATTTATTTTTAAAATTGTATTTATTATTAAAATGAATAATCATATGCATTTCAAGTTTTTCTTCTGTGAAGCTGTATCGTTTATCGGTTTACATATTTTTAAAGATTGAGAACGAACGTTCGACGTCAACCGAAGTTATTGGGGCATATTTGAAGCAGCTTAGTATTATCGGATCTTGATAAAGTTCTTTGAGCTGAACGTTTTCGCTTAATAACACTGAATTAATTTTTCGTAGAATTTTCAGACCTTCATTTTTATTGGAAAGCTCGTTTAATTTTGTTGTAAGTGTTACACCTTTCGATCCAGAAATAGAATGCATTTTTTCTTTCGTTTCGTCAATTATTGAAAAGCTTAGATGTAAAGTTATATTTCGAGTTTTCAGTTTTTTTTATGACTATCACTAAAAATGCCAAATGAGTAGATATAAATGTTAAATCATTCTACTTGTCAAAATATTATCTTATACACTTTTTTAAATTTTTTTAAATTTTTGCTTCAATATGCAATAAATTTTGAATTTTGCCAAAATATGCAAAAATATGCAATAACCTTTAAATATGCAGAAATATGCAAAAAAAGATTTCACCATTAGCTTCAAATTATGATGATTCGTGGAGATAACTGACAAAAATCCAAAAATATTAAAAGGAAAAAAATATGCAATTGCATAGAAATCCGCGCTCTAATTATAATACACTATAAATTAAAGCTTAAAAGTATTCTTTTCACCCAATATAAAATATCTCCGTATAGGTAAATAAACTCCATATTAACAGTTATTGATTACAAAAAAACAGTTAATTTTATTATTCAATAAATAATAATATTGTATTATATTATTATTTATCATTCCGTTTGTTATAAAATAATATTAAAATAATTTTAATTTTTAATTGGAAACAAAAAAAATTAAAATGTATAAAATTAGACAGTGTAATCAGTATCAATTGACACTGTGTAGAGCGAGTTATGAATATGTTAAAATATGATAATAGTGGCACTATTTTATTTTGATATTAACAACAAACATAAGTAAATAGTTGTTTAAAAAATGCATGGTAAAAATAAATTTGTGTATAATGCATATCATAATATATCAAAAATATGGAAGCTAATTCAAGCACTGTGCTGATGAGAAAAGTATTGTTCATCCAACCCTAAGATATTTTATTACTATTAATAATAATCATGGAAGTTTATAGTAATAACCTTATACATCGATTTGATATATTTATTTATCTATATTATTTAAAACAATTACATTAATGGATAGTTTAAGTACTGATAACAGTATAACTACAATTGAAGGGTAAATTATTGCATATAATTATAAAATTGCTCCAGAAATTCAAATATAAAAAAGCAAGAATAGGTCATTATTTTTCAAATTTGAATTTTTAATTGAAATAAAATATATCATTTTTAATGAACTTTTTATATTTAACTCAAATGTTACAAATATGATTTTGCTCAAACTATTTGAGTTTTTGAGAAGTTCTAATTCAAAAATTACATTTTTTTTCTAATTTTGAATAGTTTGTATTTTTTAGTTTAAGAATCCATCTTTACTTAAATGTTAAAGCAAGCTGCCACAGTTATAAAAAAAAAAAAACTCTAATTGAAATAAATGGTATCTATATTTAATTCAAGTTCAGAATAATACTTGGGAGTAATAATTTTTCACAAGGTAACACTCGTTTGTTATCCCCCCCCCCACTGAGTCATACTGTCTGTACACCTGACGTACAGTAGTTCAGCACCCTTGTGCACAAGTTGGTCACCTAAACTTGAATAAATTAAAGATCAATTGAAAATTGTCTTTAGGCTTAATGAATTATTAGTTACTATCTTAAAAAATACTTACCCAGGAGATTGAGAATAAAAAAAAAAATATAATAATATGCAAAACTTAATATCTTAATATCATAATTATAATATATATAAATTAGAAACAATTTTATGTATACGTGTAAACAATTCAAATTGTACTAAAGCAATTTATTTATACAATGAATATTTACAAATATTTACAATTAAGGCATTTAACTCAATTAAAAAATAGAATATTAATTATTATAACTTATAACAAGTTTGAGTATAAAGTTTTTGAGTTTTAATATATTTTTTATATTACAAATCTACTTACATCAAGTATAGAATTTCCATTATAATGTTCTGGTAATTTTCCTGAGACTGGACAAACTGTAGCTTTACGCATGACACCACCGCCAGCAATATCTACCAAGTAGCATGTAGGATTTTTACGTTTATTTCCGGGCCATGAAGATGTCCACGATACAAAATTATGAACAGAAGTTGCTGTTAAACGGACCTTTACTCCTAATCGTCTAGCAACTGATTCAAATATCACACATAACAAAAATACAGAACCTTTTCTTCGATCAATAACCTAGGTTAAATTCATTGAACCAATATTAATTATGAATAATGAAATTATTGAGATGAAAATATACCTGCTGCAACAAAAAGCAATTTAAGTCATGGTTACAATAACAAACCAGTTGATCTTCAGAAAATATGATTTGTCTTATATTATCAAGTATAAACATTGTGCTGGTTTCATCAAATAAATCATGATCAAGATTAAATTTTCCACGTTCAACCAATTGTTTCGAATAGTCTTTATGGTCGAATAGAGGATGAGCTGCGTTAGCTGAACGAATGCGATTACACACATCAATAGCTATGTTGTTCAAACTTTTGTCTGTGAAAAATATAAGTAATACAAATATAATACAATTATAATCATTTATCACAAATTGCTTATAATTATTTTTTTTTTTAGTGTACTTACTTATATCACGATAAGGTATATTGATAGTAGGACACCACCAACGTCCAAGTAGGTAAAATCCTCGTTCAACAATTTGTTCTGCTGATGGTAGACTTAAGAAATGTCTTAACTTGTAACCAAAATAGACTTGGCAAGAATAAATGAGAAATTGATGTGCCATGTACAATAGATCATAATTTTCATTACGACTGAAAGTGATAAAAATAAATGCTGATTAGTCAAATATTTTTTTACTTTTCTCTGAACCACAAAAATACCATTCGTTAGCCTGAAGTTGTTTATAATAAGCCGCAATGGCTGATAGAACATAATATCTATGCCCTTCATTTTCCGAGTTCAAGTATTGACTAAACGGATACATATGATATGGAACAGTTTTAAACTTCATGTATCGGCATGGCATTTGTACAATTTCAGCAGGTACAGTTTTATCCAAACTCATACGTAATATGATTTCTTCCTTCCAAGTATGATGTTCATCAATAACAACTTCATACTCCTCATTGTCTAATGGACCATATCTAACATATTAAATAAAATATTCATTATTAGTGGGTAAAAAAAAGAACAACGCACAACTAGATATATATACTTTTGTATGAATTTAGATTTCCAGAGGCAAGAGTTTCGTTCATGGAACAAGCAGGTACTGAGTTTGGAATGCGAAACAGCTAAGTTGAAAACGTCAATCAATTTCAACGAGTCCCAACAACAAATGTACTCAATCAATTCGGTCGGCAAGTCCAGTATTGTGGTTGTAACGGTTTCGACTGACGAGTAGGCAGCGGCGACGACGTTTTCGTCCTCGGGTTCGTGTAATCGTTTCAGAGGGTTGGTCGTCATCGTACCGGATTTTGATCTTCAAATTCCCATTCAGATGGCTCGCGCAACTACAAGTTACAACACTAATGCCGTCCGAGACGATCAATAGTGTATATTCCAATGGTCTGCCCTATTGACCGAAGTCTACTAGGTTTGTCCGTGAGAAACGTTCCACAGTCCAAAATCAAAATCCAGTGATTGTAGTGAACCACACTGCTGCAGCACTAGCGTCGTTTTGAATAGTTTTGATTAACCCCGAGCGGCGGCCATCGCAGTGCCAATGTGATGATGATATGTCGTTAGTGCGTCGTCGCAGACGCCGCCCTCGGTCACGAACGACGCGCACTCACGAGTCACGAATTAACGATTCACACACGAAAATAATAATAATAATAAAAACAAGCAAGTTCCTGCCAAATTGTAAATAAACAGACGTCGTGGTGATTGCCGGTTCGGTTATAATACACTACGAAACGTTGAACGACAAATGCAAATAACGCTCAAACGACATAGGCAAGTTACAACTTGCGGATTACAACCTTTAAGTCCACGACAGATATATTGCTCGAAACAGTTAATAACGGAAATACGGAAATTTAATGCCACAGAATACGATTTCACAGTGTGTCAGTGTGATGTATATTATGTTATAATAATATGCTAAAGTATTATTTGTATTTTGTATATTTTGTAAGCTGCTGGATATCCAGTTGTATATAGAAGTTTATTTTATTTTTTATACGTCTGCACTCTGTTGACTTCCTTGAGAAGAAAATTTAATAAAAAAAAAAAATGTAATCAGTGATAACATTGAGCAATTGCGTCACAGCCATAGATAATAAATTTGTTATTTGTGTGTCTGTCGTATAGCCACAGTAAGATAATAATATTCTTTTATTTTTATTTTATATTAGGTATATTTATGTTTTTAATTTCGCAACTGCACTGCAATTAATATACGTAGTTCAATAGCACGCCTACAAAATTTGAACAAAAAATTCCTGATAAAAAAATTATGACATCAATAATATTTCACGAAGATTACGATAATAGATTTAAAATTATTATAAGGCCAATGATGATTTAAAAGTAATTAATATTAATAGGTACATCAACATTTTATTTTAGTAATAATATTATAACTTTATTGGTACACCTGTTCAGATTATAAAATGACCGTCACAATTTTGAAAATTTTTGAATTTTCTAACCAAAAATAATTATTAGCTTTTTGTAAAACGCGAACATTTTTAAGTTATTGAAATTAAAAATGTATTTATGATGTATAATTGCGTTGGCTGTACTTTGTTTTTATGGCGTAAGTTATTGATCTCAGATTTATCATTTATTTGCATATTGTTAATTATGATTAACATTAGCTATGGCTAATGTTAGTTTTGAACTTAAAATGTGTTATACTGCAAAGTCCAGTTATAATTAGTACAAGAGTAATTATAGACACTATGTAGTTAATATAATTATAATTTCTTATCTCCGTGGTCTGTTTGTATTTCGTATTCGTCATCATTATGTTGACTTAGTAATTTAAATTTCATTATTTGTTTACTAATTTTTTTTTTAACACGGGATAATGCATTGACGAATAACATAAATGTATATCTCTGTCAAATGTATTAATATTTTAATTTTTTTATAATGATATTTAAACTTTAAACAGCATAAAACCTTAATAACCAGTACATTTGCAGTATTATGTTAACATATAATAAATAAAATGGCAATTTGATCACGATATAAATATAACAAAAAAAATACAGCCTTAAAATGTCAGTAGCACTATATTAGAACATAATATACTTATTTCGAGTTCGAATCAAATACCCATATCATGCCCAGCCATTAAAAATCATAATGTATTAATGCATTTTCCGAGAAAAAATCGGTATAATTTTTTTTTATAGTTATATTTATCAGTTTTCTTGTTTTCGTTTATTTGTTGAAAAAATTTATTTACACAAAAATTGTGACATTCAATAGGATCTTGCTTGAGGGTCGTCATTTATTACAACCAATACAGTTCAATGTTAAAATTATAATGTAAAATATGTATATAATGATAATAATATTAAATAAGTTATATAATTTAACTTGTACAATTTATTACATTCAATAACATATTATAATAGTATTGGCAGTATTGCTTAGCATTTTATGGACATTACGAACTATGGTAGGTATAGGTAAAATTATAAATAATTAAGTAATTTATTCATAATTATAAACTGTTGAAATTATGATAGTTAAAAAATTTTTGTTTTTGAAATATATGTATTTACGATTTTGTACGATACCTATTGAATATTGGCTATTTGATATACAAATAGTTCCAGGAATAATCTTAAATAAATTATTAGAGGAAATTTTAAAATTAACGATTATATTTTGAAATGTCGAACAAATTGATCGAGTTTTAACTGCCGACTGAAAGTTTGATAATGTTATACTGTGTGTTTGTGAGAGATTTATATTCGATTGAGAACTGGTTCGTTTCTGGTAAACCAATAATATATAAATTATTAATGTTGTGTTTTAATAAACGGATAATATGCTACAATTTAGGATAATTTTTTATAATTTTATCAAAATAAAAACGAGAAAGTTTTTCTCAATAATTATACCATATTTAAAATGGCTATCCCTACCTTCGAGGTACTTAAATTAACTCTGCTTTGCCTTAAACTAGAATACTTGATACAATGATACACCATAATGTTTATGATTATTTTTGATTATTCTTTCCTATATTGTATTATATTATGATTTATGTTACATATAGATAACATATTATGCTTATCATCATAATAAAAGTTTATTTTAGTTTATAATAATTCCTCTTCGATTTTCATGGTCATTATTAAAGTATACATAATATAGTATTTACTCGAAATCATGGTCGTCTAGTAAACAAGTTGTAAAACCGGTTTTGAGTAGTAGTATATAAATATTATATTTGATCCACCGACTTAAATCTTTAAAACCATATCTTCATTTTTCGTTGTTTTTAAATAAAAAATATATTTTAAGTAAATTATATGTACTAGTAAATATCTGTTTATAATACCAATTTTCAATCATTAAAATATAAATTTAAATTTATACCTTGTTTACTAGTGTGACAGGAAATTGATTTTTCGGTTTTAAATATTTAATTTAATTTTCTGCTGTTACAGATATGTTTAAAAGTTAAAACATATTGGTTATGTGTAAAAATAAATAAAGTGTTAAGTTATTATAAATTATAATCATGTTAGGTACATTGAATACGCATTTAAGATGGCGCATCTTTTACGATACATAGTTCATTTTGTTGATAATTAATTAATAACTGTAGTATAATAATAATAATATAGACTACTATTTATTGTTCTTTCTTCTGTTAATTGATAGAGATGCAAAAGCACGGCACTAGAATTTTTTTTCAGGGGGGGCAGAGCGGGGCAAATATTTTTTTTACATGGGCTAAGGTTTTTTCAACAAATACTGAGGTTATTTAAATAAAATATAAATTTTTTTATGTACCTTATGTATGAAAATGTTAGATCACAGACCTTTAACAACTATATTAATAATTATTAATAATAATGTACAAAAATGATAATTTCTTTATTACATACCTTTGTGAATGAATAATTATGTTTCTTTTACTTACAATTCATAAATATAAATTAAAGTAATTGTGTTTAGTTATGAATAGATGAATTTGTTTTACTTAACTTTTAATGCAATGATTTAGGATACTTTTGTTTGTTTATTTTCATCCAGTGATTGGTACTCAATAAAGGTAGGTAATAATAAATAAATAAAAGATTTTTTTTTTATTTTACAAATTTTAAAACATATTTTATTAAAATTGTAGTAGATTTTTTCCTTATTAGATAATACTAGTTGGTTAATCCACCGTAAAAAGACTGAAGATGTTATTTGTTCAAACTTCATTAAATAAATTATTATAATCTATACTAAATTAAATTTATTTAGTAGTGACAAATATATTAAATAAACTAAATATTGATATTTTACACAATATCTGTTTATGTACCAAACACTAAATGATTGAAAATCTTAAAACGTTGAAATAGTTAATAAAAATGTATAAAATTGCATCAATATTAGTAGGAATAATATTTTTTTAAATAAAAATTTGTGATTACCTACCTAATATTTAACTAGTAAATTTCAAGTTTTTAGTTCAATACATTTTTAAATTGGTATTTGCATAGTATATTTTGTATTAAAGAATCTACTTTGTATTTTTTATTGAATTTTGGAGGTTAAAATAGTTCATGGATATATATTAAAATGTAGATACTTAAAGAAATCCTTTCCTTTTATTAACTATTAAGTAACTTCTTACACAATATTATTATATTAATTAAACATATTAAAAATAATAAGTAAACTAAACATATTTTTACCTGTATACAACAAACGTTAAATTAAGTTAATAATATTCTTCGGTTTTTGTGTATAAAATATTATTATTATTCAATCGGTTTTCATAACAGCCAAAACTTTAAACACATATCTTCGAAAATACGAAAGTATTTACATAATAGGTATTACTAATTTAAAAAAAGTATATTTCATAAATTCTCTGTTGTAGCTTATCGTACATATTTTTAGTAGGGGGCGCTGGCGAAGGGGCTGAATTGTTTTCTGGGGTGGGGGGGTAGACCCCCCCCCCTTCCAACACTTGATGCCGTGCCTGGAGATGCAATATGCCTTATCTTCCTTATGCAGTGTTTCATGCATAATGTTTTTATAACGCTAAGTCGGTTTTTTAAATGTTATGTACATAAAAATATGTATGATATAATTATGTATGTTACCTTTATGTAATATATAGTATATGCCACAGTAGGGCGTTATTTGAATAAAATTTTATCTAGATGATTATTTAGATAATATTTTACTCAAATGACTTTTTTACATTTATTCGAATACAAATTTATATAAATAATTTTTAACTATGATTATTCGTAAATTTTTAAGTACTCGCATATAACATTTTACCACCTTTAAAGTTGAAAATTGAAGTATTTTTAGAGCCCAAAAAGGTAACGATAGACAGAATAAAAACACATACCTACATCCTACATGATACAATTATGATAAATTAATGTAAAATTAATACATTCATGGTTCCACTTGGAATTTAAAATTGGAGTAAGCGTGCTTGACGAATCATTCTGTATAGTATAATAATACATATTGTAAAGCCGTGAGAATAATCTTATATTTATTAGCGATAGATATAATAATTTATATTAGTTTTTTACTTAGCTACCACTCGTGGTTATAGATTATTATTATTTGAATTATGTTTAAATGTTTATAGAAAATACCTAAATGCAGAATTTAATCGGAAAGAATTATAAAGGTAGGTATTGTCCGACTATAGTGTTCGTGTTCAAGAAGTTAATTGCTATTCATTAAATTAAATAATATTGTTTTTGTAAAACAATTTTACTAATATTTTAATTCATAACCATTATTAAATAAGTATAAAATGACATAATCCACGGCAGTAGTTTAATATACTTTAAGCCATTTAGTATATAACGGTAACGAGTTAACTATACGTGACTTACACGGAACGTGGAGGATGGTGTAAAAGTAGGTATCTCGAAAGTTTTTTTTTTTTTTAGACGTGCTTATAAGTTTTGATAAGGCGTTTTTTTTTTTGAATCGTCAATAGATTAATAATATTTAAATTGATATTTGATGGTATGTTACCATCAATTTAAAACAA